GAGAAGAGAACTTCCGATTCGCCATCTCCGTAGTTACTAAATTGGCCAATATATGCAAATGGTTTCAATCGTTGGATTTGCGGATCTTTGAATTGTGCTCGAATTTCAAAAAGGATCGGTATGGCGTCTGTTCGTGGTGCACCAGCAAACACAAGAGCTATTTCACGGGCCAGACTGGTTGAAAAGTAGCTGTTTGTCGTAATCAACGTGCCGTCGTGATATTTTTTCTTTAGTTTATTGAGTTCATCGGCGGACATGCGTTGGCCGCGGAAGAAGGTCATCCATTGTCCAACTGTGTAATAGGATTCAAACCAAGCATAAGCAGATTGCAATTCTTTGTGAACTTTACGAAGAAAAAAGCTAAGGTCTAACGTACCTTCAATAGTTTGCCGGCGAAGTGCTCGATTAACAATACGGTAGACAAAACCATCGCGTGTGTAATACGAGAGTGCGAAGGTAGAGCCATGGTTTTTCTCGAAATCGTCAATTAGTTTCAGAGTGCCAGGATTTCGAGAGAAATGCAAACGACTTTGCTGAATAAAACGAGTACTGTCATCAGCCATCACTGAATCTGCCATGAGAAAATCGATAAACAACGGATACCAATATTCCGATAGGTCAGCAAAATTGTTAATCACATTCGTTGTCGCATCAATCGAACAGTTTGCTAATGAAGAAAGACGAACGTCTGATTTATTCGCATATTCTTTGACACTCGCCCATAGACATTGTACTAACTCATTAGGTGAACTGAAAACATCTTGAATCTAAACAAGAAATAGACAACATTTAGTCAAAGAGTCGATACGATGACTGTGTAGAGTCACTTTATAAGATAAGCACTTGATAGGATTGATACACGTAATTGTTCCAAGCAGATCGAAAACAAAAATTTCTTGCACATGACGAATTTCATGGATATTTTCTTGGAAAACACGTGTTAATAGTACAGGAGTAACAATTAGAAAGATTCGTTCATATCGGACAGAACGTATGAACTCTTCACATGGTTCAACGGTATTGAACGTTTTATCGTAATCAATTATGTACCGAATATGTTTCTTCAATGACACCACTTGTTCGTCACAAGAACAAGATGAATCTAATAGATATACTGCCACTAGTCCCGTCTTCTGAATAGAAATAGTCGATGACATTGTTATTGTTCAGTTCAAACGTTCGATCATTATCTATTTCCTTGGAAGGATTCGAAAGTGATTGTATTATACTACAATATATAAAAGAAACAATGAATAAATCTGAATGTCACACGTTTTTCAGAAAGATGAAGTCGGTGTTCCTCACAATAACATTTACGTACGAATCGATACTTATACTTCAATGCCATCTAAAGATTTGTTTGTATTAAAAACATCATAAAAATGACTCATTCAAGTTCGAATACTCGCCATTACACGACAAGATGAGAAATAAAATGTCAAGATTAAACATGTGAAGCTATTATGAAGTCAATCAGGCGACGTGGCTCTAACCAACGTTTGTCCTGGAACCGTATCCGGCATCGTTCCAAAATGGATGTCTCGCGCAGTTATGTAACGATACCATATACCCAAATCATGATAATAGACATCAATGGTCTCACCACTTTTATCTACAGCAAATAACTCTGGGCCCTCATAGCTTATAGTGAGATAATGGGTTCCATTTGGTAAACCAAGACCTGTTCGATTGAGTCGTTCGCATAAAACTTCCCATGATTGCTCGACACCTAGAGCAGTTCTAATCATGTCTGCATTGTTAATGTACGTAAATTGGCAAGTATCCATATTGTGGTTCCAAAAGTCAATACAAACAAATCTCACAACAAATATAAGTATTAATGAAAATGGATCTACTAATATAGTATCTCCGGAAGAAACTGTATGTTGGAATTCTTCTCATTCCTACTTACTAAGCTTTTTACACAAGACACTCGTGAGTAACTATTAGGCGTGATAAAGAAAAGAACAGACGAAAATAAATATTTCACCTTATTGCAGCATACAAGAATAATGTTACAGAGGATTGCGAGTTTTACAGTTTTTCAACTACTCTTTCTCCTACGCATATACGTACGTCATATAAGTATGCAATTCGGTTTTTTTTCAAGGAAGTATGGCGTCTATAAGTAAAGTGAGGCATCAAGCAACAGTTCATTCGAAATTGCATTTTAATAAATTCGTTAACTGTTGTTGCTTGGCATTTATTGCAACTTGGAACTCTATTACGCGTTATACATCCAAACAACCAATTCTAACGAAAAATTGATGCAAAACGTTGCCTGAAAGTTACTGAAGGAAACTACACGAAGAAGCGAAGATGTAGACGAAGCAAATGATGGTACCCGCGTGAATACGATCGACAACGATATGAAGCACATAAGAGTAAAACAAGTCCATACAAAGATGATAAAAAAATGAATCATCGTTCTTCTACAAATCAGAGCATTTTCTTATTTTCCCCTTATATATTATTACTATCTAAGAAATAAAACCTATGAGCAATTCGATTTTCACTATTAAGACAGTGTGGATACCCATAGTGACGCGGACTTTATCAAAAACACTATGGAGTTACGAAATTGTGAATAAACTATTTTTAGTTTATGAATGATCGTTACTAAGTCACACTCACATCTTTTCGAAAAGAAAAGCTCCTATTAGTTATTTGAATGTCATGAGAGAACGAAAGCAAATTATAAATGCTTTGTTATTGTTTGAGAGTGAAAGAAGAAGAAACATAATATTTGGCAAGGACGACGGAATTCTGTTGATGTCTAAAAAAATAAACGTTAGGTAGGAAAATGGGCGAATTCACTTCAAATAATCCAAACAAAAGGTTGGCGAAACGATTATTCTTTTTTGAATTCTCCAACGGAAAAAAAGCATTGGAATGCAATATCATTCCCGACGAAAACGTCTTTTACTGGTATTTCTATCCATTTTCCTTATTATTATAAATATCATCTCCACGTCGAACAATTACATGCCAGTCTTGATTTCAAGCGAAATCGAAAATTTTTCTCACAATGTCAATCTTGTTGATTTACACTTCGAAACAAAGGAAAGTGTCATCTGTACTAAAACGAAAACATTGCTCAATAGGATTCAAACGACAATTTGTCTACACGATTCTCGCGATGCAGTGAGTAATCAAATTCGGAAGGAAAAAATCTGGGAAGAAGAACATCTGACTAAACTTTTTCAATATCTCCTTGATAATCCTCAGATGAATTTCATTGATATTGGAGCAAACGTTGGCGCATACACGATGTTTGTTGCTTCACTTGGAAGACAAGTGATATCCATCGAATGTTTCAAACCCAATCTCGATCGAATCCGGCGAGCAATTCAAATTGAAAACGTTCAAAATCATGTAACACTTATTGGTAATGCTATTTACACACAATCCGGTGTCGACTTACCATTAAAACCTGATCCAAATAATATCGGTTCTCAAGCACTTGATCTCATTACCAATCCCAGGGGAATCAATGAAACTTATGTAGTAAAAACGATTCAATTCGATGATATCCTTCCAGTACTGAAAGGCAAACAAATTCGACATGCAATCATGAAAATGGATATTCAATGGTCAGAGATGTATGTATGTCTCACAGGAAGTGGCGTTTTTGATTACATGAACATTCCAATTGTACTTATGGAATGGGATATTAGCGGAAAAGAGCGATATGGGAATCGTTTACAATTTATTGTAAAATTTTTTCTCCAACGGAATTATATTCCAACTGCTGATATGTGTAAAGTTCTTCAAGAGGTCGATGCACTTACTTTTTGGCCATCGAACGTCTATTGGATAAAAAAGGACGTATCAAAATCGTGCTAAATTCACGTTACATATAGAAACAGAAATGTAAAGTGAACGAAGCATTGATTGTTTGCATCTAAATTTTTCTTCAATGCATTGCACTAATGACGCGATGGGACCATTTGATGATGAATTTGAGGAGAAATCCCCAATAAAAATTCATGTTATTAGCGCTTTAATCTAACAGTAATGGTTGCTATTAAATCGTTTCTTTTCGAAAATTCTCTCGTGCGTCATTAAAAAACTGAATAGAATGCATAAAGTTCTTTTTATTGTCGACACATTTCACGTCAGGCGTTCTTATCATCGGTATCGCTTATTATTCATACATCAGTACCTGTTCAAATACGAGCTTTGTCTTCCGGATCCTCGAGAAGCAATCCGTAATCGAATTTAGAAGGGAAACAATCTGAGAAGAAGAACTTCTTTCTCAAACAATTTCCTCGTACGGATTTTTTTATTATAACGGAGCAAACGTTGGTGCGTATACACGATGTTTGTTGCTTCACGTGGAAGACAAGTGATCTCGATCGAATCCGTCAAATAGCTTCAAAGTCAAGTGATGTTGATTGAGAATGCTATCTATACAGAAATCGGTCAGTACTTTTAAATGACATAAGATCCGATGATATTCTTCCACTACTAGAAGCCAAACAGGAAACAAGAAATTTGAATATATTGATATTCCTGTTGTTCTAATGGAATGGAATCTCGGTTGGCGTTTATTGGATCGTTTTTAAATCTTACTAATGTATTTTCTCAGATGTGGTTACCTTCTGATTTCGGATTTATGTCAAAAACTACCAGGGAGTGAAGTTCTTATCAACTAGTCATCGCGTCTCTACGGGATGAAAATGGATTTAACTGAAATTTGCTAAATCATAGACCACGACACATCTTACATTTGATTACGTGTAAAAATAGATTCTAATGAGAAATTCTTTTTGTCTTCCTGGAGTCGAACGTGTCTTAACGTCATCAGATATAATTCTGAAAGAAGCTTAATGCTGTACACTATTATGAAAAGAAGATCTACATCTGAAGTTTAGCTGGTAACTCGTTAAAATCTCCTGAAAAAGGTGTTACATGAAGTAAATTGTCGAAATCATCGAGTAATGAACAACTTAACAGTTGATAGCATAAGAGATTCTTTAACTACGGCATCCTATCAGTTAAACATTTGGTTAGGTTTACTTCTTTGGACAATAGGCAACATTGGATGCATCGGTAATATGCTAGTTTATGGTTCTGCAAAATCCCGTCAACAAGCGTATGCAATCTATTTGTTCGCATCAGCCATAGCTGATTTTCATTATTTCAATTTTGTATTACTAACACGAATACTTCAAAATGGTTTTACAATTATACTAACGAACCGATATTCAATTATATGCAAACTGCGACAATTTAGTACTATTTGGGGTAATGTTGTTGGTTTTAGTTTGTTTTCGTTGGCAACCATCGATCGACTTTTATCAACTCACCGTTCAAATAGTAAGACTTTCATAGAAGATGTTCATATGTCATTCTGATCTGGTTTTTTTTTCAGCATATCGACTATGGAGTAATCGTGTTCAACTAGCTCATAAAATCGTCGTTCTCATTCCTCTCTTTTGGTTTCTATTGATAGGTCACCGACTCATTCTATATCAAATCGAAAATGGAAACTGTTCTCCTCGTAGTGGTTTCTATAGTTACTACGATAATTACTTTCAAGTCGTTTTCTCGTCGTTATTGCCTGCTGTTAGTATGTCTATTCTTGCTTATTTACTCATTAAAAATGTTCGACATGTTGTTCGCCGACGCGTTGTTCCATCGATTAGTGTACCCCAACGAAAAATGATCAACCAAATAGATTCCCGATTAACACTCATGCTTATATCCGAATCATGCATTGCAGTGATGACATATGTTCCGTATGCAGTTCAGTTAACCTATGCGAATGTAACGCAAAATTTATCTAAATCACCTTTACGTATCGCATGGGAGAATATGTTTACTGAATTGATTCACTTGTTGTCGTATATATTCTTCGTCACGAGTTTTTATGTTTCGCTCTTGTCCAACGGCGCGTTTCGTCAAAAGCTCAAGGAATCCTTACATATCTTTGGATCTCATTTACATTATAATAACGATCGAACTAGAACTTTTCTTCGTCGATGGAATATAATCAGGTAATCATGATGACTCGGTTTAACTGACACGCTTACTCTTCTGATAATAACTCATGATATCTCAGTAATGATCTCGTGTGCGCATGTGTATATAAACCAAAGACGCAAAATGATTCTAGACACAATAGAATGGGTACTATTTTACCAATCCCAATAATGTAAGTTCAGTAGTGTTCAATTCGATATTCTAAGATTTCGTTTTTCATGCATAGCACCTTTCTCGTTCTATTCGGTATCATCACTGTTTTCCTGATGTTTTATCATTGTTGTCGCTTTATTCTGATTCACGAAATATTCCCAGGTAAAAAATGTTTTTTCCTAGTTCAAAAGTAAGCAGTTGAAATGTATCTTGAAAATCTAGTTCATGGTATTGATCCCGATTTGGTTCATGCAGGAGTCCCGATTGTCATCGTTCGTCGTTCAGATCAACCAAAAATCTATCCACCATATATCGCTACATCTCCAGCTATTTACGCAAAAGAATGACTTGTTTATTAATTTATAATAGTCATTTTTCTAGTTCGTCGTGTGTGTGAATAATTATCCAGAGATGAAAGGGAATAACACCTTCGAAATGATGCATTTTTCGATGTTGTATGAACCACATTTGCTTCGACTATTGTCGAAGAGCGCGATGCGGACATTTGATTTTGAACAAAATTTGCAATGCTTGTTTCCAGATCATCACCGGGTGTGATACTACTTTCTTCAGCAATTGTTTCACATCTCGCGGATTGCAGGCGACTTCGTACACGGGATTTCTTGCGTGATTTTGAATCGAATAGTGTGAAATCTACGCCGGAACCGATGGGTTTGATCGAAATATCTCGAATCGCACGATATCGACCGCAATTATTTAAATGTTCATTTTCTAGGCGGAAAAAATTCCAAGAAAATCGACGTATTAGTTCCAGAAAACCGAAAGCAAAACCAACCACATCCGAATATTCAGCTGCTGCAGTATGAAACTGTATGAAGATGTTTATTGTCCAACTATATCGAAAGACAACATCTTGAACCATCGCGTAGTAATAATACTTCTTTGATGGATAGATAATATGATCGCGAAGAAATCGATTCTCACCGGCATTCTTATGAAATAATCCCCAATCCATTTTAATATCCCATATAACTTTGAAAGTTGAATTGATGAATGCAGCGATAATCCATGTATAAACAAACGGATTTTTCGTGGGATTATTCGATTGATTTTTATTCAGAGCGAGTGTTCCACGTCTAAGAGAATTTGTGATTGCTACACAAGTGCTCGCAAAATATTTGGTCGCATTGACTAGATGTGGAAATTTTAGTTTAGTATCATAATATCGTCGGAGACATTGAGTTAGACGAAGTAGAGATGGTGTGGCAAGTAGACATGCTTGGAGAAGAAAGCGTGACCAACCGGTACAAAAAGCGTGTTCGGGCTTTGAAGAGGACGTTAGTCTTGTCGACCACCATTGATGATTAGAGAAATAAAAGCAAAAGAAGTATTCGAGATCGAAAAAGGCTAATTCAATCGAGGTTAATTGATTACAAAGCCAATTATCTGCAAAGTGAATACGATGAAAGGCGCTGGAAAAGATCAATCCTACTGTTCGTAGAAGCCAATAGCGAGCTGGCCGATAGAATATCGGTGCTGGGTTAACGAGAAAAATAGCCATCAGTAAGACGAACACTAACGGTTGAACAAATGGATAAAAATCGAAGTAAGAGGTAAGAATGAAAGCAATAAAGCTGAGACACCAGAACACGCAGAGACATGCACCGATTTCAAGTAATTGTTGATAAGTTAAATGATTACGTGGATCGATTTCGAATATGAGAATATGGTTGACACCAGCCGATGACCAACCGTACACGTTGATACCGGCAAACATAATTTGAACAATAATAAGAANCGTATTGTTAATCGAGCACTTCGCCGGCAAACTATTGAAGGTACGTTAGACCTTCGCTTTTTTTCTTCGTGAAAGTTGGTGAAAAATTTCGATTGATTATAGTCTCGTAAAAAGTTGCTGCTTGAGTTAAACCTTGAGATTGATCATACGAAAGTAAATTACCAATTTTCATCAATGCGATTTCAGATGGACATGCTCGCAATGCTCGAAAGTCTTCGATTACTACGAACTTTTCGTCTTCGTTTTCGTCAATAAATGTCATTTGGACTAGCTGAACACCTTCAGACTCATTATAAATAATATTATCGATTTTAAAAAACGAACCAACAGAAAAGAGAACTTCCGATTCTCCATCTCCGTATTTACTAAATTGGCCAATATATGCGAATGGTTTCAATCGTTGGATTTGCGGATCTTTGAATTGTGCTCGAATTTCGAAAAGGATCGGTATGGCGTCTATTCCTGGTGCACCAGCAAACACAAGAGCTATTTCACGGACCAGACTGGTTGAAAAGTAGCTGTTTATCGTAATCAACGTGCCGTCGTGTTTTTTTTTCTTTAGTTTGTTTAGTTCATCGGCGGACATGCGTTGGCCGCGGAAGAAGGTCATCCATTGTCCAACAGTATAATGGGATTCAAACCAAGTATAAGCAGATTGCAATTCTTTGTGAACTTTACGAAGAAAAAAGCGAAGGTCTAACGTACCTTCAATAGTTTGCCGGCGAAGTGCTCGATTAACAATACGGTAGATGAAACCATCGCGTGTGTAATACGAGAGTGCGAAGGTAGAGTCATAGTTTTTTTCGAAATCGTCAATTAGTTTCAGAGCGCCAGGATTTCGAGAGAAATGTAAACGACATTGATGAATAAAATGAGCAATATCATCAGTCATCACTGATTCTGACATGAGAAAATCGATAAACAACGGATACCAATATTCCGACAGGTCAGCAAAATTGTTAATCACATTCGTTGTCGCATCAATCGAACAGTTTGCTAATGAAGAAAGACGAATGTCTGATTTATTCGCACATTCTTTGACACTCGCCCATAGACATTGTACTAACGCATTAGATGAACTGAAAACATCTTGAATCTAAACAAGAAATAGACAACATTTAGTCCAAGACTCCACACGAGGAGCACGTAGATTCACTTTATACGATAAGCACTTGATAGTATTGATGCAGGTGATTGTTTTAAGCGGATCGAAAATAAAAATTTCTTGAACATGGCGAATTTCATGGATATTCTGTTGGAAAACACGTGTTAATAGTATAGGAGTAACAATTAGAAAGATTCGTTCATATCGGACAGAACGTATGAACTCTTCACATGGTTCAACGGTATTGAACGTTTTATCGTAATCAATTATGTACCGAGTGTGCTTCTTCAACGACGCCACTTGTTCGTCACCAGAACAAGACGAGTCTAATAGATATACTGCCACTAGTCCCGTTTTCTGAATCGAAACATTCGATGACATCGTTAGCGTTCAGTTTGGGCGTTAAATCGTCATCTATTGCTTTGGAAATATTAGAAAATACTTGTGTTATGCTAAAATAAATGAAGTAATAATTCAAAAGCAATAAACGAATGAATTTAAGTATCCCACGCTTTTCAGCAAAATGAAATCTATTGCTCACAATCACACTTACATGTGAATTGATACCTATGTTTGGATGTCATCTAAAGATATTTTTGTATTACAAATTTAATCTAGAATTGAATGATTTAGTAAAAAAATTATAAAAATGACTTTAGATATCTGGATTAGATACTAATATGGCCCATTCGTGTTCAGATACTTGTCATTACACGATAAGATGAGAAACAGAGTGTCAAGATTGAAAGTGAAACTGCACAGTGTACGACTGTTTGATATGTATAAAACATATGAAGTTATTAGGAAATCAATTGGGTGACGTGGCTCTAATCAACGCTTGTCCTGGAACCGTATCTGGCATCGTTCCAAAACGAATGTCCCGCGCAGTTATATAACGATGCCATTCACCTAAATCATGATAATAGACACCAATTGTATCATGACTTCTGTCTACAGCGAATAACTCTGGGCCTTCATAACTTATAGTGAAATAATGTGTACCACCTAGTAAACCAGTACCTGTTCGATTGAGTCTTTCGCATAAAACGTCCCATGATTGTTCAACACCTAACGCTGTTCGAATCGTGTCTGTATGGCCAATGAACGTAAATTGGCAAGTATCCATGTTGTGATTCTTAAAGTCAATAGAAACAAATCTCGCAACAAATATTAGTACAATGAAAGTCGATCTACTAATGTAATATATCAAGAGATAGTTACATGTTGGAATTTTTCTTATTCCTACATCCGAAGTTATTTTTAGACAAGAGATTTATGAGTCACTATCAGGCCTAACAAAGAAAAGAAAAGACAAAAATAAATGACATGCTTTTTACTAGTACACAGGAAAGATATTACGGACGAATGTGAGCCTTGTAATCTTTCAAAAATTTGTTCTTCTGCGCATATGTCTGTGAATCACATACGTACATGAAATCTGGTTTTTTCCAAGGAGATATGATGTCTATAAATAGAGTGGTGCGACAAACAACAGTTCATGCGAAGTTTTATATTCGTAAATTCACTAGCTGTTGTCGTGCGGTACTCATTGCAACTGGGAATTCTATTGCACTTTATGAATCCAAACAACAAATTCCAACGAAGCATCGATGCAAAACTTTGCCCAAAAGATGCTGATGGAAATTACACCAAGAACAGCGATATGTGTCATGGCATACATATGGCATGGCATAAAACAAGCGAATATGTAGACAAAGCAAAGGGTGGCACTGGCGAATACGATCGAAAACGATATGAAGCACACAAGAATAAAACAAGTCCATACAAAGATGATAAAAAATAAATCATTGTTTTTCTACAAATCAGAACATTTATCCATTTTTTTTCTCGTATACATTTTTCTATTATCCAAGAAATAAAACTTATGAACAATTTGATTTTCACTATTAAAACAGTGTGGACACTCATATGTTTATGTGTGTCCATTACTATTAAGTCACACTTGCATTCACGTCTTTTTGATAAAAGCTTTGTCTTGGTTATTTATATCTCATTTTGTTTGAGAGCGAAAGAGGAGAATTAAATAGTTCGCAAGAGAGACGAAATTTTCTTTGCGTCTAAAAAATCAATGTCAGGTAGTAAAGGTACGAATTCGCTTTAAAAATCCAAACAAACGAATGATGAATGAAATGACTGTTTTTTTCGAATTCTCCGATGAAAACGTTACAGAATAAAACTGAAACGAAGATTTGTCTATATACGATTCTATCGCGATGCAGCGACTAGTCAAAGTGGAAAGGAAAATGTCTGGGAAGATGAACATCTAACTAGATTTTTTCAATATCTCCTCGATAATCCTCAGATGGATTTTATTGATATCGGAGCGAACGTTGGCGCGTACACAATGTTTGTTGCTTCACTTCGAAGACAAATGATATCCATCGAATGTTTCAAATCCAATCTCGAGCGAATCCGTCGGGAAATTCAAATCGAAAAACAAACGTTCAAAATCCAGTCACACTTATTAGGAATGTCATTAGCCTGAAATCTAGTGAATACTTAACATTAAAACCTGATCCGAATAACATCGGTTCTCAAGACTTTGATTTCATTGCCAATCCCAAGGGAATCAATGAAACTTATGTAGTAAAAACGATTCAATTCGATGATATCCTTCCAGTACTGAAAGGCAAACAAATTCGACATGCAATCATGAAAATGGATATTCAATAGTCAGAGGTGTATGTATGTCTCACAGGAAGTGACGTTTTCGATTACATGAACATTCCAATTGTACTTATGGAATGGGATATTAGCGGAAAAGAGCGATATGGAAATCTTTTACAATTTATTTTAAGTTTTTTTCTCCAACGGAATTATATTCCAACTGCTCATATGTATAAAGTTTTTCAAGAGGTCGATGCACTCAGTTTTTGGCCATCGAATGTCTATTGGATAAAAAAGAGCGTATCAAAATCGTGCTAAATTCACGTTCCATATAGAAATAGAAATGTAAAGTGAACGAAGCATTGATTGTTTGCATCTGAATCTTTCTTCGATGCATTTGCACGTTGTAAATATTAATCGACGAACTATACTTGATGGAAAAAACTGTTTGTTAATCATTGGGAACATTGATATTCGTTGTACACGATAAAAATTCATGTTAAATAAACTTTGCGCTTTGATCGAACAGTAACGGTTGCTATTAAATCGTTTCTTTTCGAAAATTCTCTCGTGCCTCATTGAAAAACTGAATAGAATACATAAGGTTCTTTTTATTGTCGATACTTTTCACGTCAGGCGTTCTTATCATCGGCATCGCTTATTATTCATGCATCAGTATCTGTTCAAATACGAGATTTGTCTTCCCGATTCTCGAAAAGCAATCCGTAATCGCATTTGGAAGGAAAACGATCTGAGGAGAAGAAGAACTTCTTTCTCGAACGATTTCCTTCTACGGATTTTTTTATTATAACGGAGCAAACGTTGCCACGCCCACGATGTTTCCTGCTTTACGTGAAAGAGAAGTGATTTCGATCAAGTTAGTCGAACAGCTTCAAAGCCAAGTGATGTTGATTGAGAATGCTATCTATGCAGAAATCGGTCAGTACTTTTAAATGACATAAGATCCGATGATATTCTTCCATTACTAGAAGCCAAACGGATTCGACATGCCGTTATGAAAGTTGACATCCAATGAGGGCAGATATATCTTTGTCAAACAGGAAACAAGAAATTTGAATATATTGATATTCCTGTTGTTCTAATGGAATGGAATCTCGGTTCGCGTTTATTGGATCGTTTTCAAATCTTACTAATGTGTTTTCTCGGATTTATGTCAAATACTACCAGGGAGTGAAGTTCTTACCAACTAGTCATCACATCTCTACGGGATGAAAATGGATTTAACTGAAATTTATTAAATCATAGACTACGACACATCTCACATTTGATTACGTGTAAAAATAGATTTTAATGAGAAATTCTTTTTGTCTTTCAGGAGTCGAACGTGTCTTAACGTCATCAGATAGAATTCTGAAAGAAGCTTAATGCTGTACACTATTATGAAAAGAAGATCTACATCTCAAGTTTAGCTGGTAACTCATTAAAATCTCCTGCAAAAAGTGTTATATGAAGTAAATTGTCGAAATCATTGAGTAATGAACAACTTAACAGTCGATAGCATAATCGATTCTTTAACTACAACATCCTATCAGTTAAACATTTGGTTAGGTTTACTTCTTTGGACAACAGGCAACATTGGATGCATTGGTAACATGCTAGTTTATGGTTCAGCAAAATCTCGTCAACAAGCGTATGCAATCTATTTATTTGCATCAGCTATAGCTGATTTTCATTATTTCAATTTTGTATTACTAACACGAATACTTCAAAAAGGTTTTGCAATTATACTAACGAATCGATATTTAATTATATGCAAACTGCGACAATTTAGTACTATTTGGGGTAATGTTGTTGGTTTTAGTTTGTTTTCGTTTGCAACTATTGATCGACTTTTATCAACTCAACGTTCAAATAGTAAGTTTTTTCATAGAAGATGTTCATATGTCATTCTGATCTGATTTTTTTTTCAGCATATCGACTATGGAGTAATCGTGTTCAACTAGCTTATAAAATCGTCGTTCTCATTCCTCTCTTTTGGTTCCTATTGATAGGTCATCGACTCATTCTATATCAAATCGAAAATGGAAACTGTTCTCCTCGTAGTGGTTTCTATAGTTACTATGATAATTACTTTCAAGTCGTTTTCTCATCATTATTTCCCGCTGTTAGCATGTCTATTCTTGCTTATTTACTCATTAAAAATGTTCGACATGTTGTTCGCCGACGAGTTGTTCCATCGGTTACTCTACCCCAACGAAACATGATCAACCAAATAGATTCACGATTAACACTCATGCTTATATCCGAATCATGCATTGCAGTGATAACATATGTTCCGTATGCAGTTCAGTTAACCTATGCGAATGTGACGCAAAATTTATCTAAGTCACCTTTACGTATCGCATGGGAGAATATGTTTACTGAATTGATTCACTTGTTTTCGTATATATTCTTCGCCACAAGTTTTTATGTTTCGCTCTTGTCCAACGACACGTTTCGTCAAAAGCTCAGAGAATCCTTACATATCTTTGGATTTCATTGTCATTATAATAACGATCCAACTAGAACTTTTCTTCGTCGATGGAATATAGTCAAGTAATCATAATGACTATCGGTTTAACTGACACGCTTACTTCTTCTGATAATAACTCATGATATCTCGGTAATGATCTCGTGTACGCATGTGTATATAAACCGAAGACGCAAAAAGATTCTAGACACAATAGAATGGGTATTATTTTACCAATCCCAATAATGTAAGTTCAGTAGTGTTCAATTCGATATTCTAAGATTTCGTTTTTCATGCATAGCATCTTTCTCGTTCTATTCGGTATCATCACTGTTTTCATAATGTTTTATCATTGTTGTCGCTTTATTCTGATTCACGAAATATTCCAAGGTAAAAAGTTTTTTTCTAGTTCAAAGCTAAGTAGTTGAAATGTATATTGAAAATCTAGCTCATGGTATTGATCCCGATTTGGTTCATGCAGGAGTTCCGATTGTCATCGTTCGTTCAGATCAACCAAAAATCTATCCACCATATATCGCTACATCTCCACCTATTTACGCAAAAGAATGACTTGTTTATTAATTTACAATCGTCATTTTTCTAGTTTGTCGTGTGCGTGAATAATTATCCAGAGATGAAAGGGAATAACATCTTCGAAATGAAGAATTTTTCGATGTTGTATGAAACACATTGACTTCGACTATTGTCGAAGAGCGCGATGCGGATATTTGATTTTGAACAAAATTTGCAATGCTTGTTTCCAGATCATCACCGGGTGTGATACTACTTTCTTCAGCAATTGTTTCACATCTTGCGGATTGCAAGCGACTTCGTACACGGGATTTCTTGCGTGATTTCGAATCGAGTAGTGTGAAATCTACGCCGGAACCAATGGGTTTAATCGAAATATCTCGAATCGCACGATATCGACCGCAATTATTCAAATGTTCATTTTCTAGACGGAAAAAATTCCAAGAAAATCGACGAATTAGTTCCAGAAAACCGAAAGCAAAACCAACCACATCGGAATATTCAGCTGCTGCAGTATGAAACTGTATGAATATGTTTATTGTCCAACTATATCGAAAGACAACATCTTGAACCATCGCGTAATAATAATACTTCTTTGATGGATAGATAATATGATCGCGAAGAAATCGATTCTCACCGGCATTCTTATGAAATAATCCCCAATCCATTTTGATATCCCATATAATTTTGAAAGTTGAATTGATAAATGCAGCGATGATCCATGTATAAACAAACGGGTTCTTCGTTGGATTATTCGATTGATTTTTATTCAGGGCAAGTGTTCCACGTCGAAGCGAATTTGTGATTGCCACACACGTGCTCGCAAAATATTTGGTCGCATTGACTAGATGTGGAAATTTTAGTTTAGTATCATAATATCGTCGGAGACATTGAGTTAGACGAAGTAGGGATGGTGTGGCAAGTAGACATGCTTGGAGAAGAAAGCGTGACCAACCGGTACAAAAAGCGTGTTCGGGCTTTGAAGAGGATGTTAGTCTTGTCGACCACCATTGATGATTAGAGAAATAGAAGCAAAAGAAGTACTCGAGATCGAAAAAGGCTAATTCAATCGATGTTAATTGATTACAAAGCCAATTATCTGCAAAATGGATACGATGAAAGGCGCTGGAAAAGATCAATCCTACTGTTCGTAGAAGCCAATAACGAGCTGGACGATAAAATATCGGTGCTGGATTAATGACAAAAATAACCATCAGTAAGACGAATAGTAACGGTTGAACAAATGGATAAAAATCGAAGTAAGAGGTAAGAATGAAAGCAATAAAGCTGAGACACCAGAACACGCAGAGACATGCACCGATTTCAAGTAATTGTTGATAAGTTAAATGATTACGTGGATCGATTTCAAATATGAGAATATGATTGACACCAGCCGATGACCAACCGTACACGTTGATACCAGCAAACATAATTTGAGCAATAATAAGAAATGGCGAACGGTAGAGATGAAGAGCATCCCGCCATGCCAATGGTATTCCTGACTTACTCTTATTCAGAACAAGAATAAGAATAATAACCATAGGTAGTAGAACACATATAATTCCTACAGGCGGAATTTGTGATAATGAATCAAGGATAGACATGACTTACCGATGAAGATGCCAAGGCGAAATGTGACTATCGGCGATTGACGTTCTTCGAGTGGTGGAACACGAAGACGTTTCATAGCACGTGCTCGGTCACCTGATTCGAGTTCATCGATATAGATCCTTTCAACATCACAAATGAGTTCAGTTACTGCTGTTGATGTATAAAAGGTTGCTGTGTCAATATTTGCTTTTCTAGACGAACTCCATTGAGCAATATTCTCACAAGAACAGATAAACCTATGCCTACCGCCATTCGTTACCGCGATTCGTTTGCAACAATTTATCGTGTTTCTTCAAGATTTTAACGAAGCCAGTAAAATTCAATAATTGATATTTCTGTAGCAGAACCAACATTAGATAATATTCACTAAAGGCCAATTTGAGATTTTTTACATCTTTACAAGGTTTTCGCTGTTTGCCATTCCCTTTCAGAAATTGATCAGGTACAAATGATAGTTTGCTTGCCGAGGGTTGTTTTCCTCCATGAATCGTACTGTCAGTACTTTGACCAACTTTGTTCGTTTTGTGAGAAGGAGCGACTTTTCCATACATTAGTTTCCTGTATTGGATTTCATCTTTAAGTGTAGTAAATCGTCGCAATGCTCTGTGAATAAATCCATTGTGTTTCCCCATGGAAGTCAATGTGAAAACTTACTCAGCTAGTTTTTCGGCAAAGAAAGTATTAATCTTTATTAGTTCCTTTTTGCAACACTAAACAAACGAAAAGAAACTAATGCAATCAAACAAACAGATCACTTACTTCAAAAAACTCGTCGTCAACACGAAGAAAATACTCCTCAACTACGGGGTTATTAAAATCATTATCGTTCTCATTTTCATTAATCATTACAGGCGCATCCGCAATCGCTTTCTCGAGCAATTCTTTCAAATACTGATACTGAATATACTGAGAATTCCATTCCGGAGTAAGATTTGCCAACAAATGCACACCAAATTTCATTCTGATGCGTATCGATGTTAAAAGAAAGTAAGGCGATCGAAAGAGCAAAGAAATATACAGTGCCTTTTATAAAGTGTGAAAAAGGTCATTACACAAACGTTTTCGAATGATATTTTATGACGTGCGAAAAAGGCCTTTCTCTAAACTAAAGAAATAGGCGTATTTGTACTTGATGAATTTTATGTTTTTTTTATTGTTGCAATTTTTAAGGGCATTTTCGATTGTACTCAAAATACACATTAGAAACGGATTCTATTCTCGGCCAGGACGATATTCAATTCCATATTTGTTTCTTAAACTACGTAACAATGTTCGATTGAATGGACAAATAACGTTGGCGCCGTTGATGGGAAATCCTCCTTCCGCCCATTGTCGACGTTCGTGAACTAAATCTTCCGTCCACATATTATTGCACCAAAATTGACCGCTTCTTCTAATAGTTACTAATTGGCAAAAATTTGCATCGCCTTGACACTGATCGACAAAAACTTGACCATCTGGAGCTAGATTTTCTTTCGAACTGACTGGAATTGCGTATCCTTTCATAATTAGTTCTGCTGCTTGACGAATCAACTGAACGACTTCGGCTCGTTTAATTCCATCGCGTCGCTTATTAATCGGATAATAAAGGCCTTTGATATACGGTGTTCCCGCTGTGACATATTGTTCGAGAAATGATGGATAAGCAATAGGTGTTGTTTCTTTTTTATAGGGATTCATTCCTCCAAGATTAATACTCACTGATCCATCGGAGAGAAATGTTTGATACATTTGTCCTGTACCTGGCCCGGTGATGTGAATATCCATATTACGTACCGTTCGTAGTTGAGCAATGAAATTATTATCTAATAATTCATACGTCGGAGATTTTGAATCGATTGCAGTTGCATCAATACCAACAGAAACATTATTTTGTGCAGTAATATTTCGATAATCAAGGTAAAAAACTCGTACAAGTGGATATGGTAGTGATCTAATCTCATCAATGCTTTTGTTTAAGTACAAATTTGTATGATTATTGATTTCATCCATTGCTAATTTCAAATCTTCTTGTTCTTGATTTGTAAAACGTTTGTTATGAACAATATAAGCATTCAATGGTTTTGTGACATCACGACGTTCTGCTGAATGATTACGTCGAATATGTGGAGGAAGTAGACCGTGCTGTTTATACATTCGATCACGAAATAGTCGAGACCCGTCGAGTTCTACTCCACCGGCGAGCTGATAGTTGGATTGAATGCAACGTTGACACATCATTCCACTACCGAGAATGATTTCTTCGAAAACGAACCATTGACGTTGGGCAAGTACATCGAGAACATTCGATTTAATTAATCCAAGTCCGGCAAAACGACTGTAAATATCTTCGCTAAAACATGTTTGACATTGACTTTTGTCAAAGCCAACAAGAACTCGGAACGGTTGGAGATGTTTCGGAGCAAAGCGTATCGCGGCAATATAGGCTGGATAAAGTCCGTCGAATAGAGCATGGCCAACATTACCATGCCAAAGTTGATTAAAATGAATTGTTAGTCCCGATAACATTCTTGGTTCGTTCTCCGAACGAACGAACTGATGCAATTTTTCATACGTATCGAATATAAGATGACGTGGACGATACTCAGTTGTTGCTAATGCGGCTAGTCGAACACCTGGTAGTGTTAAATTATCTTCTTTTAAAGATAAGGCTAAAAATCCTTGCTTGATATAATAAAGATTTTGATAGAGACACGATTGGTTGTAGGAAGGACCGACGCATTTCACTGTTGTTTTCAAAGATCGAACGGATGGTGATGTTTGTAATATCGAATGCTGAGTATTTGATTGCTTGATATTTTGATTTACATAATGTATAACGATTTCAAGGATAAAAAGAAAGCACACGAGCCAACTAGCCGTTTTTAGTTTTCTTTTAAAGTGTAACATTATTCAAACGGCATTGAATTGCTGTTTTCAGCTGCCACATGAGAAGAGTGACGTTAATTCATGTCTTTTTTTACACGCGACAGAAATACAGAACTATTCAATATTAAAGAACTTTGCCGAACGAACGAGCTGTTTGCGGAAGAGAACGGAAGGACAAGCGTATACAGAAGGAGAAAACTTTTTTTATTGTTTGCATTTTGAATATTCACATATATGAAGTCAGCGGTATAAAACTTTATGTTTCTTTTCTCTTTCTTTCTACACAAGAACCGCCGAATGTATTCAAGAGAATGTAATCAATTTCTTGAGAGTATCATAAAACAGAACATTTACATCTTTCAAGATCGAAATGGGAGCTTTTACAGAGCTGTATAAGAAATGATTTGTGTAAACGCAAATGACTGAATCAGTGTTGTCAATCGATACCTGGTATTTACAAAGCTTATGAATTATAGAAATCACGTCTGGATATGATATTAAATATTCATGAGAACAACACGTTCGATTATGTGTCTCATTATATAATTGAAGATTATTTCTGAATAATGGATTTTAGCACACTGTTACAATATTGAACAAACGTGTAGTTCAGGAAAATAGAAAATCTCTCTTTTGTCGGAAGACTCCATACATTAGTTCTTGACGCTAGAGCAGTACGAAACAGAATTTCTTTCTCGTATATGTCAACTATGAACGTCTGGAGCTGTTTCTCAGCTCGTATCGTGTTATGGATGTTAATTAATGTGACAACTACAAGTAAGAGTTCAGTTGGTTTCGGTTCATCAATATTTCCCACAAACTAAACTCTTTGTGTTCGAGAATATATTCATATAAGTTGAGAGGATATCTGAAATACCAGAATATCCAGATGTTTAATATGGACTAAAAGATGATCGTTAATAAATGACGAACGGAACCCCGATGAGCTCATAAAGTATTTTCTTCAAGATCATTGTTGTCAATTTCTCCAGGGCAATTGAAGTTACCACCTAATGGTGCTTGGAACCAAATTGGTACGACAGTTGCGGGAGATAGAAAAGGAAACGCAGGATCAAATCTCAGTCAACTTAATGAGCCTGTCGACATATATATCACCAACAACGACATTCTTTATATTGGGGATTCATACAATCATCGAATTCTTGTTGTTCATCTCAACTCTTCGACCAACAACTCCGCTATCGGCTCTGGGCCAGGTCCGAATTTCAATCAACTCAATGGGCCACGCGGCGTTTTTGTTTTCAATGCATCTCTCTATGTTCTTGATACCAGCAATTACCGAGTACAAAAGATGACACTCGATGGTTCTAATGCCACTACAGTGGCTCATATACCTCGACTAGGCACGGCACCAGGCGATCCACTCTATCTCTACGTGACTGATGAAGGCCACATATATGTAAGTGAAAGATTGGGACATTGTATCTGGTTATTTTTTCCAAACTCAACTACTGGTCACATCATTGCTGGAAAAACTAGACAAAAGGGATCCAATAACGATCAATTCGACGAACCCTATGGCATCTTTGTCAACGACGTGGGCACCATGTACATTGCAGATCGTAAGAACAATCGAATCATGAAGTGGTCGACCGGAGATTCGTATGGTGTTCGTGTGGCTGGTGATGGTAAAATCGGTGATACACCAAAACAACTCAACGAGCCCACCCAAGTGATTGTTGATACCAACGAATACATGTATATTACAGAAGCGGGTTATCGAGCGCGTGTCGTTCGATGGCTCGTCGGATCAACCTGGGGTGTATGCATTGTTGCTTGCACAAGAAGTTCTGGAATTGAAGCAACTCAACTAAATCGACCACATTCGTTGGCATTTGATAGACACGGGTCACTGTATGTCACCGATTGGGCTAATCACCGAGTGCAAAAGTTCCAGATTCTCGACTATTCTCGTGAGTATCTGCATTGTAGACAGATTGAAAATGCGAGAGAAAGTCTACTTTCCATCCGACCCTGAGCTCTTTGGCTACTTCAAAACAATGCTCCCATCAACTATTCTTTTTTCACTAGTAACTTCAGAGAGAGTAACGTCTATGCTTTTGTTTAGTATCATTCAACCAGCCAGTCATTCCTCCGAACTCAACATGGAGTGTATGTGGTATTACTTTTGCTAATCAAATCAGCATTGGCTCGAGACCTCGTGGTATTTTTATTGATCATCGTGACACTGTGTATATCGCTGATCATACCCATCGACGAGTTCTTGCATGGTCAGAGAAAAATAACAATCATCATCAGATATCCACCCGCGAGTTATTCGACCGTACAGCTCTGTTTGTTACAGTGAATGGCGATATTTACGTTGAGAATGGTGACCAAGAAGGTCGAATTGAGAAGTGGAGAATAGGTGCAACGAGTGGTGAACCCGTCGAAACATTTCCTGGAAACTGCTTCGGGCTCTTCATCGACATTAGAAATCATCTTTATTGTTCGATTCGTGAGAAGCATCAAGTGGTGAAAATCATGCTCGACAGCAACAACAAGTCGTTCGCGGTAGTGGCCGGAACGAGGAATTCGTCTGGCTCTGGCTCTGACAAACTAAATCGTCCTTGTGGAGTATTTGTCGATGTTTATTTCAGTCTCTATGTAGCTGACTCGGGCAATAATAGAATTCAGGTTTTCCTGTCGGGAGAATCAAATGGAATCACAGTTGCTGGCGGAGGTGTTCCTAATGGCTTAGAACTACAATATCCAAGTGGTGTGATACTGGACGCAAGTAACATGTTATACGTTGCAGATAATCAACATCATCGTGTTGTTCGAGTCGGAAGCAATTCATTCCGATGTCTGTTTGGTTGCACGGAGAAAAGTGGATCGGCGTCAAGTCAGCTGTATTACTCATATTCTGTTGGTTTCGACAGTCACGGGCACTTGTATGTGGCTGATGAATGGAATGATCGTATTCAAAAATTCAATATAGACATCGATTCTTGTGGTAAGTATGAATTAAAGGTGAACACTTTGATATAGATGAGTGCATTATTGAGGATCGTTGATATTTTATTTTGCTTGTTGCATGGTCTCACATTCGGAACCCGTTCCTATGAAAAATACTTAGGTATCAAGATTTCCTACTTTTGGATATACTAGAGGAAAATGAGTCTTCACTTTACTCATACAGAATGTGTGTATGCTTGAAATGATTAGTTGTTCAGTAGTGTAACCTGTCAATGATTTCGCTATCTTACAGATTGCATGGATCATTTAGAAATTCAAACTTCAACTAATGCGGTATTAACTACCGAGCAAACGACAATGCAGTCGTGGTCGACTGAAAATCCATGTAAGAGCATATTCAGTACTATATAAGATGCCTAGATTTTATCATTGTTTTAGCTTCGTCAACCCCATCAGTGTCATTACGTAAGTCCTTCTCAGGACAGGTTTTTTGTGTAAACATATCTCAGTCCGCTGTAGAAGGGCTTGTGAGCCATGCTGTTTGCATTCGATACCTTCTTTTCCTAACGAAAGCATGATGAATATCTTTTAGAAATTGAAATTTCGTCAACAACCACAAGCACGTTAGAGGTTGAGAATAATGTCGTTTCTTCATCTACATCGACAAAAACAGGTTATTTTCACTCATTATTTTCTTTTATCGAGGATGCCTACCTACTGCAAATTTCAGATCTATCAACAAGATCAGCAGAAACAGTCACTGGTACATCTTGTATGTATTTCATATACTGTCAAAATATTTTTCGTATATTCCAACTAAAACCCAATATATCCTTCTTTCTTTCAGCTCAACCCTCACAAATATATTTTGTTCCAACGTCATGTTCTAATGGAACGAATATTGGCATGACCTGTAATACTCCCGGCACTCTGTGCGACTTGTGGAGTCCATGTCGAAACAATGGAACATGTGTCAACAACGATGACAACAACGATTACAATTGTACTTGTCTGCCGCATTTCGACGGGAAACAATGCGAAACCGATAATCGGCCATGTAAAAAAAATACGTGTCTTAATGGTATGTCTATGCTTTCATATTATTTCTTTCGTGAAAAAGGATATAGTAACATCTTTACTTGTAGGTATATGCAATCAAACATCGAATTGTACCTGTGCAGCTGGTTGGGAAGGTACACGATGTGAACGAAGGATTGACTATTGCGTGAATGCAACATGCTACAACAACGCAGTTTGTCGTTCGCTACTGGGTAATTACACATGCGAATGTCTCAGTGATTCTTATTCCGGTCGGCATTGTGAAATCGTTGCAAAGAAATTCATTGTTTATCAGTCTGTTTGTAAATCTTTTGCTTATATTGCTATCATCGCCATGGCTAGTGTGGTATTGTTTGTTATTGTCATGGATGCACTGAAATATTGTTTTGGAAGTGACCTGACTCGTTCGGAACTGGAACGAATTCGACGAGAAAAACGAGCAAAGAAACGCAAACCAGTAATCCAACGGTTTACTTATGTCAATGCTATTCCTTCATCGGGACAGACAATTTCTAAAAGAAAAGAAACTGCTGTCTAAAGATATAGCATAAATCTCTCGCTTTTGATGTTGTTCATGACCCTTAATCTTCTGAGGTTCTAGAAACTCTTTCGTGAAAGTTTTTTTTACTGTAACCTTCAGCGTGCTGATTCTTGAGTTAATTTCTGCATGGCTAAACAAAGAAAACGATCGGAAAGTATTTATTAAGTCGTACTCTGCAAGCGAGAAACCAGTTAATCGTTAACTATTGCAGATTAAGAGAAAAAATCTTCAAAGTGCATTTTTTATGTATGAAGCTTGTTACACTTATCTTTCATAAATTTGGATTAAACACATTTGTTTAATTATCTTCGTTGGATTACCATGAGAATTCTATTGTAAAAACAAGACATCTTTTTCATATTTGATTTGAAAACGAGAAAGACCAATAAAAACATATCAATTCCATTTTTCTGCTCTCAAATTTGAATACTAAATCAATCCAATTCCGAATCAGATTAACTTCTACAGTATTTCGTGCATGGCAAGCAATAATCTATAGGTATTCATGCAGTAAATGCACACGTTTGGAACATTCGATAGCGGAACAAAAAAGATCATTGACGTCAATGACAACTATTATAGAATCTTTGTCTGTTAATATCACGTTCTCTTATTATTGTCATGAACAAAAAAGGTATACACTAAAATCATGAAGATGAGAGTTTGCGTCATCGTCGTAGAATAAAAGCATGATAGCTATGTTTGTCCATCTGTATGTGGCCAATGTCTAGACAAACGTTTCCATTGTTGTTTTCCTTCTGAAGCGATATAGAATAGTATATTATATCATTATTGCCTTGACGGGTTCTACTAAACGACAGAAAATGGTAAAATTCAACAGACGCTACATAAATTAAATTAAAAAATATCTGTTGAACAGCGCAACGGTACACAAGAGCTCTAGCTAAGCAACGTTTTTCATTTATTTTATATTTCTAGGTCCGTATCGTTGATAGCGTGCCTCTAAATCACGCAAAAATGATACTAAAATGTCAAATTTTGTTGAATGTGATCATTCTACTGATCATCACTAATGTATCGTGTAAGTAATACTCAATAAGTAGATCCAATGAGGAATTCATAGCTTGAGTTGGTTATTCGCACAGTTCATACTACTATTCGTTAGCAACGAAAGTATTTTCTCTCGATAGTGGTTAATATTTGCTGATCGATAATTAATAGAAGCGCTTGTTGTCGATATTAGTCTATTCAATCCAGCGGAATACACATTCATCATGATTAAGGTCTGCAGGTCATCCATATTGCGAATTCAGCGTCTACAGCGTATCTCTAAAAACCATGAACGTTTGCGAATAAATTTTATCACCGTTCTAGCCTGCAGACAATGTACTGCTCCACAGAAAGTTTAATAATCCCTGCATGAATCTTAGTGTAATTCATCAACAATTAGAAGGGATCTTGTCCGTATGATATTCTGATTAATTTCAGTCGAGCTCAAGTTGTCTCCCAAAGCTGCATGGAATCAAATTGGTACAACAGTTGCGGGAGATAGAAAAGGAAGCGCAGGATCAAATCTCAGTCAACTTAATGAGCCTGTCGACATATATATCACCAACAACGACATTCTTTACATTGGGGATTCATACAATCATCGAATTCTTGTTGTTCATCTCAACTCTTCGACCAACAACTCCGCTATCGGCTCTGGACCAGGTCCGGATTTCAATCAACTCAATCGACCAGACGACGTTTTTGTTTTCAATGCATCTCTCTATGTTCTTGATACCAGCAATTACCGAGTACAAAAGGTGGCACTTGATGGTTCTAATGTCACCACAGTGGCTCATATACCTCGACCAGGCACGGGACCAGGCGATCCACTCTATCTCTACGTGACTAATGAAGGCAACATATATGTAAGTGAAAGATTGGGACATTGTATCTGGTTATTTTTTCCAAACTCAACTACTGGTCACATCATTGCTGGACAAAGTAGACAAAAGGGATCCAATAGCGATCAATTCGACGAACCCTATGGCATCTTTGTCAGCGACGTGGGCGCCACGTACATTGCAGATCGTAAGAACAATCGAATCATGAAGTGGTCGACCGGAGATTCGTATGGTGTTCGTGTGGCTGGTGATGGTAAAATCGGTGATACACCAAAACAACTCAACTCACCCACCCAAGTGATTGTTGATACCAACGAATACATGTATATTACAGAAACGGGTTATCGAGCGCGTGTCGTTCGATGGCTCGTCGGATCAACCTGGGGTGTATGCATNTTATCTAATAATTCATACGTCGGAGATTTTGAATCGATTGCAGTTGCATCAATACCAACAGAAACATTATTTTGTGCAGTAATATTTCGATAATCAAGGTAAAAAACTCGTACAAGTGGATTTCGTAGTGATCTAATCTCGTCAATGCTTTTATTTAAGTACAAATCTGTATAATTATTGATTTCATCCATTGCTAATTTCAAATCTTCTTGTTCTTGGCTTGTAAAACGTTTGTTATGAACAATATAAGCATTCAATGGTTTGGTGACATCACGACGTTCTGCTGAATGATTACGTCGAATATGTGGAGGAAGTAGACCGTGCTGTTTATACATTCGATCACGAAATAGTCGAGACCCGTCGAGTTCTACTCCACCGGCGAGTTGATAGTTGGATTGAATGCAACGTTGACACATCATTCCACTACCGAGAATGATTTCTTCGAAAACGAACCATTGACGTTGGGCAAGTACATCGAGAACATTCGATTTAATTAACCCAAGTCCGGCAAAACGACTGTAAATATCTTCGCTGAAACATGTTTGACATTGACTTTTGTCAAAGCCAACAAGAACTCGGAATGGTTGGAGATGTTTCGGAGCAAAGCGTATCGCGGCAATATAGGCTGGATAAAGTCCGTCGAATAGAGCATGACCAACATTACCATGCCAAAGTTGATTAAAATGAATTGTTAGTCCCGAGAACATTCTTGGTTCGTTCTCCGAACGAACGAACTGATGCAATTTTTCATACGTATCGAATATAAGATGACGTGGGCGATACTCAGTTGTTGCTAATGCGGCTAGTCGAACACCTGGCAGTGTTAAATTATCTTCTTTTAATGATAAGGCTAAAAATCCTTGCTTGGTATAATAAAGATTTTGATAGAGACACGATTGGTTGTAGGAAGGACCGACGCATTCTACTGTTGTTTTCAAAGATCGAACGGATGGTGATGTTTGTAATATCGAATGCTGAGTATTTGATTGCTTGATATTTTGATTTACATGATGTATAACGACGTCAAGGATAAGAAGAAAGCACACAAGCCAACTAACCGTTTTTAGTTTTCTTTTACAGTGTAACATTATTCAAACGGTATTCAGTTGCTGTTTTCAGCTGCCACATGGGAAGAGTGACGTTAATTCATCTCTTCTTTTACACGTGACAGAAATACAGAACTATTAAATATTAAAGAACTTTGCCGAACGAACGAGCTGTTTGCGGAAGAGAACGGAAGGACAAGCTTATACAGAAAGAGAAAACTTTTTGTATTGTTTGCATTTTGAATATTTACATAGTTGAAGTCAGCGGTATAAAACTTCATATTTTTTTTTCTTTCTTTCTGCATAGGAACGGTCGAACGTATTCAAGAGAATGTATTCCATTTCTTGAGAATATCATAAAATAAAACATTTACGTCTTTCCAGATTGAAAAGGGAGCTTTTACAGAGCTGTATAAGAAATGATTTGTGTAAACGCAAATATCTGAATCAGTGTTGTCAATCGATACCTGGCACTTACAAAGCTTATGAATTATAGAAATCACGTCTGGATATGATATTAAATATTCATGAGAACAACACGTTCGATTATGTGTCTCATTATATAGTTGAAGATTATTTCTGAATAATGGATTTTAGCACACTGTTACAATATTGAACAAACGTGTAGTTCAGGAAAATAGAAAATATCTCTTTTGTCGGAAGACTCCATACATTAGTTCTTGACACTAGAGCAGTACGAAACAGAATTTCTTTCTCGTATATGTCAACTATGAACGTCTGGAGCTGTTTCTCAGCTCGTATCGTGTTATGGATGTTAATTAATGTGACAACTACAAGTAAGAGTTCAGTTCGTTTCTGTTCATCAATACTTCCCACAAACTAAACTCTGTGTGTTCGAGAATATATTCATATAAGTTGAGAGGATATCTGGAATACCAGAATATCCAGATGTTTAATATGGACTAAAAGATGATCGCCAATAAATGACAAACAGCACTCCGATGAGCTCATGAAGTATTTTCTTCAAGATGATTATTGTCAATTTCTCTAGGGCAATTGAAGCTACCATCTAACGCTGCTTGGAATCAAAATGGTACGACAGTTGCGGGAGATAAAAAAGGAAACGCAGGATCAGCTCTCAGTCAACTTACTGAGCCTGTCGACATATATATCACCAACAACGACATTCTTTATATTGGGGATACATACAATCATCGAATTCTTCTTGTTCATCTCAACTCTTGGACCAACAACTCTGCTATCGGCTCTGGACCAGGCCCCGGTTCCAATCAGCTCAATGGACCACGCGGCGTTTTTGTTTTCAATGCATCTCTCTATGTTCTTGATACCAGCAATTACCGAGTACAAAAGATGACACTTGATGGTTCTAATGTCACTACAGTGGCTCATATACCTCGACCAGGTACGGGACAAGGCGATCCACTATATCTCTATGTGACTAATGAAGGCAACATATATGTAAGTGAAAGATGGGGGCATTGTATCTGGTTATTTTTTCCAAACTCAACTACTGGTCACATCATTGCTGGACAAACTAGACAAAAGGGATCGAATAACGATCAATTCGACGAACCCTATGGCATCTTTGTCAACGATGTAGGCACCATGTACATTGCAGATCGTAAGAACCATCGGATCATGAAGTGGTCGACCGGAGATTCGCATGGTGTTCGTGTGGCTGGTGATGGTACACTCGGTGATACACCAAAACAACTCAACGAACCCACCCAAGTGATTGTTGATACCAACGAATACATGTATATTACGGAAGCTGGTTATCGAGCGCGTGTCGTTCGATGGCTCGTCGGATCAACCTGGGGTGTGTGCATTGTTGCTTGCACAAGAAGTTCTGGAATTGAAGCAACTCAACTAAGTCAACCACATTCTTTGGCATTTGATAGACACGGGTCACTGTATGTCACCGATTGGGCCAATCACCGAGTGCAAAAGTTCCAGATTCTCGACTATTCTCGTGAGTATCTGCATTGTTAACAGGTTAAAAATATGAGAGAAGGCCTGCTTTTCATTCGATCCTGAGCTGCTCGGCTACTTCAAAACAATGCTATCATCAACTATTCTTTTTCATTGAATAACTTCAGAGGGAGCAACGTATATGCTTTTGTTTAGTATCATTCAACGAGCCAGTCATTCCTCCGAACTCAACGTGGAGTGTATGTGGTATTACTTTTGCTAATCAAACCAGCATTGGCTTGAGACCTCGTGGTATTTTTATTGATCATCGTGACACTGTGTATGTCGCTGATCATACCCATCGACGAGTTCTTGTATGGTCAGAAAAAGATAACAATCATCATCAGATATCCGTCNCTTCCTCTACATCGACAAAAACAGGTTATTTTCACTCATTATTTTCGTTTATCGAGGATGCCTACCTACTGCAAATTTCAGATCTATCAACAAGATCAGCAGAAACAGTCACTGGTACATCTTGTATGTATTTCATATACTGTCGAAATATTTTTCGCATATTCCGACTAAAACCCAATATATCCTTCTTTCTTTCAGCTCAACCCTCACAAATATATTTTGTTCCAACGTCATGTTCTAATGGAGCGAGCATTGGCATGAACTGTAATATTCCCGGCACTCTTTGCGACTTGTGGAGTCCATGTCGAAACAATGGAACATGTGTCAACAACGATGACAACAACGATTACAATTGTACTTGTCTGCCGCATTTCGACGGGAAACAATGCGAAAACGATAATCGGCCATGTAAAAAAAACACGTGTCTTAATGGTAAGTATCCCGTGCTTTCGTATTGCTTCTTCCGTGAAAAAGACTATAATAACATCTTTACTTGTAGGTGTATGCAATCAAACATCGAATTGTACCTGTGCAGCTGGTTGGGAAGGTACACGATGTGAACGAAGGATTGACTATTGTGTGAATGCAACATGCTACAACAATGCAGTTTGTCGTTCGCTACTGGGCAATTACACATGTGAATGTCTCAGTGATTCTTATTCCGGTCGGCATTGTGAAATCGTTGTAAACAAATTCATTGTTTATCAGTCTGTTTGTAAATCTTTTGCTTATATTGCCATCATCGCTATGGCTAGTGTGGTATTGTTTGTCATTGTCATGGATGTACTGAAATATTGTTTTGGAAGTGACCCGACTCGTTCAGAACTGGAACGGATTCGACGAGAAAAACGAGCAAAGAAACGCAAACCAGTAATCCAACGGTTTACTTATGTCAATGCTATTCCTTCATCGGAACAGACAATTTCTAAAAGAAAAGAAACTGCTGTCTAGATATAGCATAAATCTCTCGCTTTTGATGTTGTTCATGATCCTTAATCTGCTGAGGTTCTAGAAACGCTTTCGTGAAAGTTTTTTTTTTTTTGTACTGTAACCTTCAGCGTGCTGATCCTTGCGTTGATTTCTGCATGGCCAAATAAAGAAAACGATAGGAAAGTATTTATGAAGTCGTACTCTGCACGCGAGAAACCAGTTAATCGTTAACTATTGGATATTAGGAGAAAATAATCTTCGAAGTGCGTTTTTAATGTATGAAGCTTGTTACACTTATCTTTCATAAATTTGGATTAAACAGATTTGTTTAATTATCTTCGTTAGATTATACCATGAGAATTCTATTGTAAAAACAGGACATCTTCTTCATATTTGATTTGAAAACGAGAACGACCAATAAAAACATATCAATTCCATTTTTCCGCTCTCAAATTTGAATATTGAATCAATCCAATTTCGAATCAGATCAACTTCTATAATATTTCGTGCATGGCAAGCAATAATCTATAGTTACTCATGCAGCAAATGCACACGTTTGGAACATTCGATAGCGGAACAAAAAAATCATTGACGTCAATGATAACTATTATAGAATCTTTGTCTGTTAATATCACGTTCTCTTATTATTGTCATGAACAAAAAAGGTATACATTAAAATCATGAAGATGAGAGTTTGCGTCATCGTCGTAGAATAAAAGCATGATAGCTATGTTAGTCCATCTGTACGTGTTCAATGTGTAGACGAACGTTTCCATTGTTGTTTTCCTTCTGAATCGATATAGAATAGGATATAATGTCATTGCTGCCTTGACGAGTTCTACTCAACAACAGAAAATGGTAAAATTCAACAGACGCTATATAAATTAAATTAAAAAATATCTGTTGAACAGCGCAACGGTACACAAGAGTTCCGACCAAACAACATTTTTCATTTATTTTATATTTCTAGGTCCTTATCGTTGATAGCGTGCTTCTAAATCACGCAAAAATGATACTAAAATGTAAAATTTTGTTGAATGCGATCATTCTACTGATCATCACTAACGTATCGTGTAAGTAATACTCAATAAGTAGATCTAATGAGGAATTCATAGCTTGAGTTGGTTATTCGCACAGTTCATATTACTATTCGTTAGGAACGAAAGTATTTTCTTTCGATAGTGGTTGATATTTGCTGATCGATAGCAAATAGAAACGCTTGTTATCGATATTAGTCCATTCAATCCAGCGGAATACACATTTATCATGATTAAGGTCTGCAGGTCATACATATTGTGAATTCAGCGTGAACAGCGTACCTCTAAAAACCATGAGCGTTTGTGAATAAATTTTACCACCGTTCTAGCCTGCAGATAATGTACTACTCCACAGAAAGTTTATTAAACCCTGCATAAATCTTAGTGTAATTCACCAACAATTAGAAGGCATCTTGTCCGTATGATATTCTGATTAATTTCAGTCGAGCTGAAGTTGTCTCCTCAAGCTGCATGGAATCAAATCGGTACGACAGTTGCGGGAGATAAAAAAGGAAGCGCAGGATCAGCTCTCAGTCAACTTAATGAGCCTGTCGACATATATATCACCAACAACGACATTCTTTATATTGGGGATACCCGCAATCATCGAATTCTTGTTGTTCATCTCAACTCTTCGACCAACAACTCCGCTATCGGCTCTGAACCAGGTCCGAATTTCAATCAACTCAATGGACCACGCGGCGTTTTTGTTTTCAATGCATCTCTCTATGTTCTTGATACCAGCAACTACCGAGTACAAAAGATGACACTTGATGGTTCTAGTGTCACTACAGTGGCTCATATACCTCGACCAGGCGAGGGACAAGGCGATCCACTCTATCTCTATGTGACTAATGAAGGCAACATATATGTAAGTGAAAGATGGGGACATTGTATCTGGTTATTTTTTCCAAACTCAACTACTGGTCACATCATCGCTGGACAAACTAGACAAAAGGGATCCAATAACACTCAATTCGACGAACCCTATGGCATCTTTGTCAACGATGTGGGCACCATGTACATTGCAGATCGTAAGAACCATCGGATCATGAAGTGGTCAACCGGAGATTTGCATGGTGTTTGTGTGGCTGGTGATGGTAAAATCGGTGATACACCAAAACAACTCAACGAACCAACTCAAGTGATTGTTGATACCAACGAATACATGTATATTACGGAAGCTAGTTATCGAGCACGTGTTGTTCGATGGCTCGTCGGATCAACCTGGGGTGTGTGCATTGTTGCTTGCACAAGAAGTTCTGGAATTGAAGCAACTCAACTAAGTCACCCACATTCGTTGGCATTTGATAGACACGGGTCACTGTATGTCACCGATTGGGCTAATCACCGAGTGCAAAAGTTCCAGATTCTCGACTATTCTCGTGAGTATCTGCATTGTTAACAGGTTAAAAATACGAGAGAAGGCCTACTTTTCATTCGACCCTGAGCTGCTCGGCTGCTTGAAAACAATGCTATCATCAACTATTCTTTTTCATTGGATAACTTCAGAGGGAGTAACGTATATGCTTTTGTTTAGTATCATTCAACGAGCCAGTCATTCCTCCGAACTCAACGTGGAGTGTATGTGGTATTACTTTTGCTAATCAAACCAGCATTGGCTTGAGACCTCGTGGTATTTTTATTGATCATCGTGACACTGTGTATGTCGCTGATCATACCCATCGACGAGTTCTTGTATGGTCAGAAAAAGATAATAATCATCATCAGATATCCGTCGGCAACTTATTCAATCCTACAACTCCGTTTGTTACAGTGAATGGCGATATTTACGTTGAGAATGGTGACCAAGCAGGTCGAATTGAGAAGTGGAGACCAGGTGCAACGAGTGGCGAACTCGTCGTAACATTTCCTGGAAACTGCTTTGGGCTGTTCATCGACATTAGAAATCATCTTTATTGTTCGGTTCATAAGGAGCATCAAGTAGTGAAACTCATGCTTGACAGCAACAACAAGTCGTTGGCGGTAGTGGCCGGAACGAGGAATTCGTCTGGCTCTGATTCTAATAAACTAAATCGTCCTTGTGGAATATTTGTCGATGTTTATTTCAGTCTCTATGTAGCTGACTCAGGCAATAATAGAATTCAGGTTTTCCTGTCGGGAGAATCAAATGGAATCACAGTTGCTGGCGGAGGTGTTCCTAATGGCTTAGAACTGCGATATCCAAGTGGTGTGATACTGGACGCTAGTAACGTGTTATACGTTGCAGACAATCAACATCATCGTGTTGTTCGAGTCGAAGGCGATTCGTTCCGATGTCTGTTTGGTTGCACGAAGAAGAGTGGACCGGCGTCAAGTCAGCTGTATTACTCATATTCTGTTGGTTTCGACAGTCAGGGAAACTTGTATGTGGCTGATGAATGGAATGCTCGTATTCAAAAATTTAATTTAGAAATCGATTCTTGTGGTAAGTCGCTGAGATATTCCGACAGCTCAATTCGACCCGTTCTTCTTAGAGATGTTGATATTGGACTATTATGTTTTATCTGCATTTCTCGTTTTGTAGATTGTCGTGAACCATTTGTGAAACTTACTCCATCTGGAACATTGTTAAGCTTTCGACAAAACCAGCATATATATATTAGTTCAACTATCGAGGTGAACTGTGCTGATTTAACATCAATTGCAGTCGAATGGTCAATTCTCATCTGCACATCAGTATGTACCAATAGGTTACCGTTCAATCATTCTATCCATACAACATCGAAGGATCTGTTCATTCCATCGGGAACTCTCTCATATGGGCTCTATCGCTATCGACTAATATTAACCGCCACAATGCATGAACATCCATTACAGCTATCGTCATCATCTGCAATAGATATTCAAATCAGTTCACCGTTACTGGTTACAAACCTCATTTCCTTTGATACTCAGTTTATCACATATGATTATCAGCTTGATCTTGTACTCAATCCCGGCCAATTCTCTTACAATAAAAAAGAATTGAGATTGAATGCAAACGTAACTAATTATTCCTGTTTTGCCTTTTACACCTCTAATGATCTTTTTCTTCGAAATTTAGGATTGGGATTATTTCTACTATTGTCGAACTTATCCAGAAGATCCACAAGGATTTCAACTATTTGACAATCAAAGTCGTATGTGTTTTCCAGGTGCATGGAAATATCTCACCCCAGATCGATCATCTATGAAGATCTCGACTAGCTCTCTGAACCTTAATCAAACTTACCAGCTAATGGTTCAAATGATTCATCGAAAAAATTCATCTGTACACTCATTTGGTTATCTAATCGTTCGAATCGATCATATTCCATTACCAATGATCATCATCAGGTAATAGCCTCTTCTCTGAATCTATCTTTCCCCTCACCCTAGTATCTCTTCAGTTGTGTAATTGTCACGACATGTTCTTTATCTCATGAAAATTTTCATTATGTCAATCAAAAAAGTCAACTTCTCCTTCTCTCATCATGTTTGGGTGCCCGTGTATCGATCCATAGGATCAGTTGGACGATTTATGTCGGATCACCTGTCTCACCGCTTGATCAGACGATTCACTGGATCCCATACAAACTCATTGTCAATAGATCTTTAGAGGAAGGTTTCGTTTTTGCGGGTCTAACTACCAACAAATTGGCAGTGATGAAAGGTTTATTTGCGGAGAATCATTCGAATATTTATTGGCGTTTTGAAGTGAGTTACTCATTCTTGGAATTCGAGAACCAAAGTCAAAGTTACTTTGATATTGAATTAAATCAACCACCGATCAATGGTTCTTGTTCTATTTACCCACTCAATGGTACAACTACTACGTTATTTACGATTCAATGTACAAATTGGTTTGATCAAGACGAAATCAAAGATTATCTTATTTATGGTTGTTTCTCTTGAATTCTCATCATTGACTATGGGAAAGTATCTCTTTGTTTGTTCTTTTAGGTCAGTTATCGAATTCTATAGAAGAAATGCTCTTGGCTCATACCGTCCAATCAGCTCTACAGCTCTACTTACCCGTCACACTTGATCCAACATCGACCCTTCAGTTAAAAGTGAAGATTCGAGACGAATTTGATTGTTCTTCAGAATACTCTCTTCCACCTGTTCGCGTTCATCCAGACGTATCAAACATATCACAACTCATTGATTTATTACATAATGATGACAAAAACATATTTGCACAGATAGTTTCATCAATCGTACAACTATTTAATCAACTCAATTACCAAACAATGAACGAACAAGTCCAGAGTGAATATTTCTCTTCACACGAAGTTAAAATAAACCATCTTTTTACATTGAAGGTGGAATTGCGTTAACTGAGATCACAGTCACATCGCTTCATCAACAACCTCTTGCTTCGGTAAGCTTGAATATTTCGCGGTAGATCTGCTTCTCAACGACAAGTATCTAGATGATGAATGTATCGATTCTAAATATTGACGAACGGGCTAAATTACATGAAGATCTAATCTTGAAAATTATCGATCTATCTATCGCTACAACCACAGATCTACAATTACAATCAACTATCCTTTCACAAATAACACAAAATAGCAACCAACTGACACGAAACGCTTCTGTAATAAACAAAACACTACATTTCGCTTGTCTAGTTGATTTGTTTTCTATAGGTTATGACATCAAACAAATGCTCTCAACTTTCTGCATTACTGAAATCAATCGCCAATACACTTTCCTCTGAAGATACGCATTTCATAGCGACACATCTTCTACAATGTGCTGTCAACTCTTTCAACGTATGGAATTATCGTTCATTTCAGTTCATCGACGAATACATTTGATTTACTTTAGGGCATCTATGGCTCCTTGCAGGAACGTGCGAAAATTCTTTCTTCGGATTTAATACGAACACAAGAAGAATTTCATGACGATTCAGAATATCAATGGCACGGTACAAGTGCGCAGTTTTCGTTTTTCGATACGGATGGCGACGTTGAGACAATCCTTATGGAAAAGAATCGATATTATCAGAATCAAGAAGCGAAGAAGATTTCGAACGACTTGAATCAGATTATTTCCTCAATAACATCAACATTTCATGTTCATTTGAATGTCGGCCAGCAAATCATTATCAATACATCGGCCATTTTCTTCTCACTTGAGAAAGTCTTATCTTCATCGATCGCATACCGACTGAACGATTCTCAGATTCGTTTTCCATCAAATCTTCTCGATTCTAATAGCACTGTGCTCATTCGCGTATAATTGAAGAAAGCTTTTCCTTTTCATCGAGTCTGTGTGTTTGATTTGTTTAGAATATTCTGCAACCATTGGCTTCGTCCACATCCGATCATCGATTTTCCGCTTACACCAATCTATCTCGATCGCTCTCGTTATCGATCCTTAATGAAAATGAAACTGAATTAAATATAAACACTAACCTAACAGATCCCATAGAGTTTTTCATTCCCCGAGATCCACAGCTGATCATGCCATCGGCATTCCTTCAAAATAGTACATTGATCAATGAGCAAAAGATGTCATCATCGCCTTTTTATTTCTACTTATTCGATTTACAACAGACAAATCCAAACTTAACATTTGCCATTCACTTGGAAATTCATCTCTCGATAACTAACGTTTCCTATTTATTAACTTATCAATTTGATCCTCCAAAACCACTATCCTCGTTATCAGATCATTGGACATTTCTTTGTCCATCAAGTAAACATCAATCTTATCTCACTTCGGATGGCATGTACGTTCATTTTCTTAATAATCATCAAACATCAAATCGTCATTCGATCGTTTATGGACTTCGTCAATTATCAACAAAGGAAATGCAAGAATTCTGTTATCACAACAAAACACTCGATCGAACATCTTCATTATTTCGTCAAGCTTGGATATTCACATCTGATTATCAAATACGAATGTACCAATCTGCTTGTTTCTATCTCGATTCCGACTCCAATTGGCAATCCAATGGATTATTGGTAAACGTGAACTTCCAAAGTATATCCTTATTACTCTTCTTTTTTTCGATTATATAGGTTGGATCATTATCTGATCATTATGCAACCCAATGCTTTTCTACACGTATATGAAAATGCTTATCCTCGTTCAATACCAGCATTATCTAAAACTGTGCAATGTCAGAGCACATTCTTTTCGTTTAAGTTATTTCATCCGTGGACGATGAATCTCATGTTTCTGCTTTGCTTCTGTTCAGCTTAAATGTATTTGTGGAATATCATCATGGAGGTTAATACCAAGAACTATCTAAATTCTGAAATTTCATGACTTTTTTCCATAAAGTTTTCACTGAAAAAAAAAACAGAATTATCAATCACTGTCAAAGAAATAGCAAAAATTGCTGATGTATTTCAAGGTAATACAATAAGTTGGTGTTGATAATTACTCGCACATCGTATCTGTTCGTTTTGAATACAAACAATCTTTCAAGATATTCAGTCTTCAATAGAATGAGGCTTGCGACGAACGTATTGAATACCTTGAACATAACGGAATCTGGAAGCAAAGTACATTACACATTGAGAATCTATTGCAGAATAACACCGTAAACTTTGTTTTTGTATACCTTTATCGTATGAATAAAATTCCCGTACTCCCATAGACTCTGAAGATTTCGAATTTGTCTTGTAATGGCATCAAAAAAGAAAGAATGGAAAGCAACTCGTTGATGATTTACTCCACAATTAAGTAACTTTCAACTTTCTCTCTATAAAAATCTTGACTTCTACACATGTTTATATATATATCATTGACCATGTAGATACCTACAGAACTTAGTCTTGTAGACATTCGAGGCGAGTTTCAGGGAGTGAAGTATTGCAAATTTCATACAAAACAACACGGTGATATCATTTTCATTCGTACTTTTTCTTACTGTTTTTTTCACGAACAATACAGGCATTTATCGATCTTAAACTATCTGATAATGATATGGGAAGCCATGGAATGCTACATTCACCGATTGCTCTATTCTATAACAAATTTAGTTGTTCTGACTCATCGCTAGCTTCATTAAAATTGAATCGTGTCATCTAGACCCTCACCCACTTTCATCCAGTAAACTTTATTCTTTCTCTATTTGCTATTTGGAATTTAAAATATCTGTTTAGTCTCTAATGAACTTCAATCTTCGAACCAACACATGTGATAGAGATATACAAAAATAAATCAATCGAACAAGAACCACCAGATTCATTTTACTTTTATTTTTTCGTCAGAAAAAAACTTCGTGTTTATCTATAAATACAATAACATCAAGTGATAACTAAGAAAAACCGACTCGAAATAAGATCGTCTTTTGCCCGGTACATAACCTCGTCTGAATTTCTTGTGCTTGTTTAACCAATACTTGTCTGTCGTCAAATGTATTTTGCACCACCTGTAACGATATTTTCTGTAAGTTAAAACATGCATCCTTTATGTCTGTCCATTGATTTTCATGTAAAAATTGTTTGATGTCATCCCGATCGCCCACGAAATAGAGATACTTTATGCTTTTCATCTTCGTTATCCAGCTGATCATTTCCTTCGAAAAACTTTGGACATCAGCGTGAAGAGATTCTTTTGTTGGCGCTGAACGATGATAGTTCAAATCGAGCAGGAAAGATTCAATTTTGTTCGCTCCGGCACGCCAATAGTTGGATCGAGACGCATAAGAATAGTTGCGTGATATACCGGGGCAACGAACTGCGAATCGTTGAATACCTGGCCCAAGTAAATCGAACAGATGATAGAATTTATCATAACTCAGTTCGTTATCAAAGTAAAGTGAAAGACGAGTTAGTTTCGGAAAATTTCTTTTAAAGACTTCGATTTGATCTTCATATTTGAATGCAGTGGATAACGTGATTGAATTGATTTCTCTAAGGCGTACTATGCGAGTCAAACAATTTTCTGAAACAGTTTCCCTTCCGTCGAAATATAAGGACACAGATTTGTCATGCGGGATTTTGGAAAGAATTTTTGCGATAAACGGATCGTTTAGATTTGAAAGTTGGAATTTAAATGATTTCGATTTGTTTAGTAAATGAAGAACATTAATCGAGAAAGCGGAAATCGCGTCGTTCAATGGAAGATACTGAGCTATCTCATAAACAATATCCCAACAAAGACGAGTTGTTTCAATGAAATTGAATGCCTAAAAGAAGAACGATTTCCCCTATTGAAATGAATATTAGAAAAATGTCACCAAATCTTTTTCAATTTGATCGCAATATTCTCGAAACTGATGCAGCTCATTGAATAGATTATTCGAGTCTACTGCTATGTTCCTGTTCACCAGTATGTCATTCGCAACTAATACTTTAAATTGGTATTCAGATGTTATCGCGCTATCTGTTCTATATTCAAATAGGCGCGTAATTCCAGTAAGTAAAGGAAATTATTCGATTGAGAATGTTTCGAAGAAGGACACAGAAAACAAATCTTGCCAAATCATTTCTAGTCTAAATTACAACAAAAAACTAAATGTTTGAAATCAAATCGACTGATGATCTACATTTCAGCTGTTTCGCAAGTAAACTTCCACGGCCAAACGATATACTCCATGTTTAAGTACATCCATATAATTTCTGAACAGCATATAGATTTACGAAAACTTTCGTTTAGCTGAATAGATCCCTCGCCGTAAATATAAACCAGAATAGGACGACGCTGAAATACATGAAATTATCTCGACATTCTCGCTTACAATAAATAATCGATTGCGACAAACCTCTTCGATTAGTGATTGGCCAAATGATTGTTCGCACGCTTTTTTAAGAGATTGCCCGAAGAAAATCAGGGTAAAATCATTGGGATTTCCGTCAATTGAAACAAAACTATGCGCAACTGGCAATTCGTATAAGGAGAAAAACTACTTACGTTCATCGATGTCAATTAAATCATCGAAACTATCCGAATAGACACTGACTTGGCCTTCTGTGTCACTATCCTAACATATAGGAGTATATACGATGTTGTGTTGTTTCTCTGACTATTTTTCGAATAGTTTAATAAACCAATACTCACCATTTTGATGAATTGTTTGAATGCTGCTGTGGCTACCGCTCTTTTATAAGTGAGTGACTTGAAAAAACCCTTAGGTGTGCATATTTCTCATTCTTTGTTTAGTGCTTTCATTCAACACCTTGAGCAAATATTTCTCGCGAACGTGTGAGAGAATAAAGTTTATCTTATCTTGCTGGCCGTGTTAACATAATAAATCATCCTGGGAAGTTTTCAATGGATTGTTCCGAGACACCTACCAAGATACCCATCAACATTTCGAACATGACTAAAACATTTTGTAAATTTCGCGACGATTGAAGTTGCTTCGTGATGAAGTGTACATAGATTTTTTTGCAGAAAAAGTTATCATTAATAAAGTCACTTTTCTTTTTGATGCAGACGATGAAGATTATATATTTCACGATAACGTTAAAAATTTGTCACAACGCAAAATGTGCCAAGAGCATCAGACATCCACTGTATTTATCGATCGCATATTATATCAGCAGTGCTTTTCGATAAAAACATCTGCAGCTGTATACAGAATTGCGAAGTATGACAAACAGCTTACATTTAAATATGCACTCCCAAGAACCGATGAATCAAACCAACACGTTGGCAAACATTATGAGCTGAATTTGCATTTTCTCGAATCGAAAATGTTGTGATTACACAGAGACGACCTCATAGTTAAGATTCTCGCGTAAAAAATGATCATTCACAGGATCGATTAGCAATTCCAGATATTTCTCTTCTCACATTTAATATAATATCGAACTGACTTCTTCAAAATACGGAAATTAACAAGTCATAGAAACGTTTAACTGTATTGGTAATGCATCGATGTGGAGAATGAGAAAGAGATAGTTACACATATCATATATTCAAAATATAACTTTCAAACTTATATTACACAAGACAAATAATATAATAGAAAATTCAAAGTTTATCCTATTTCAACGTATCCTTGATATACTGTAAAACTTCTTTTGCATTACCAGTAACTAAAATCTCTGGTTCAGCTAACTTCTGTGTCCACTGTTTGTGATAATCCTTCTTCTTACAAAAGACAGCCACTTGGATATCTGGATATTGTCTTCGACATCTGCTGACAAATTGTTCACCGTCATCTGCGCCATTTGTAATGACAACACATCTGATCTCGTTTTTAGAGCGTTTTGCTTCTAGAATTTTGAATGCATTCTCGCTTTTTGTTACCGAATAAATATTAAATGGGGAGCCAAGTCGAAAATCAAATAGAAAGGCTGTATTCGATTCACTTTCAATATTCATATCACGCCATATTGCACATCGATAAGCACGTCGTAAAGCAACAGTAAACAGAGGCAGAATGCGGTCATTATTTTTTATGACAAATTCCTCGTAAAATGGTTCGTTTTTAGAAGTAACTGGATCGCCATTATGTTTCGTGCGAACATAATGACTATCATAATCACGATGCATATTTTTGCCTTTATAATCCATATTAGTTATTGTCAAGGACTTTCCAGTCACCACTACACAACAAATGATCCAGGCAAACTCTTCGAATTTCCAAGATTTGGCATATTGTAATGCTTTTCTAGGTGAACTACTAAAATAGATTCCTTTTCCAAACCAACCATCGTCTGATCGTTGAACATTGATACCTTCGTATTGAAAGTTTCTTTGAAATATTCCTTGAAAATTTTCTTTTCTTGTACCATGAAACAGAATCTTTTCAGTATGTTCTTCTTTGCCATATTTCGCTTTGTATTGATTCAACAACTCTATGTTACAGATTAGTAGTGCATTTTCCAGTGTGTATTCGAATGCACATTCTTGAAAAGCGTGCATCAGACAATTAGCAATTTGTTGACTCTTCGCTTGAAGAAATTGAAATTGAGTTTGATCTTGTACGTTCCTTAATCTGCTCATCTGAAGACTAGTAGCAATAGTCTCTGGGGTAAGTCGAATAGCATTCGCGTCTATTCGGTTAAACTTTTCCAGTTGTACAAGAATATTTTGTCGTGAAGAAATTGGCCCGTTTGACCTTTCTTGTTTAAGTTTAATGGCAGCAAAGCGTGTGGTAATTGGGATATTCATAGACACTAATTTTTCTTGGATATCGTCGACTTTCTCTCTATCAATGGTTATGTCCCAGGACAACTTAATCGTCAGACTGACAGTGCCTTGTTTAGCTTCAACAATAACAAGATGGTTACAATCGATGCTAAGATCTTGAGCTAAACAATTGAGAAATTCATCACAATCAAATACATTCGGCTCCATTTGTAAGTGGATTCTAATCGTAGGTAGATGATCAATTGAACGTTGAGATAGGACAGGTAGTGGAATAAATAATGTATTTCTCTCAGTCGTGTCAGTAGTAGCTGCTTGTTGACCTATTGCTGCCAAAACATCGGGTAGAACATGCTTTCGTTGACATGGAAGAGGTACGTCATAAATTTCGTGGTAAATATAGTCTTCTGGAATACACGGAATAGAAATACAATCGAAATCTATGGTCTCCGCATATGTGGTGCTTTTTTGAGTGGATAGATGGCTGGTATTTTTCGATGCGTCGTCCAGCATATACGAACTATAAGATAAACTTCATTATCCGATTAAAAGTAAATAATGTTAAAACTAGTTAGCTTTATTTGAAAACTTTCTTAAAAGTTACATTTAATCCACTCACTAAAATAAGATCACTTTCTGTATTACTCTGAAAATCATTAATAATAGCTGCAATAAACTTTTTCTTTTTATAAATATACGCAAACATACAGAGTAAGTCAGATGTTCTACTGTCTATATTCAACGCACATAATGTATGTGAAATTATAATTCTATTGAAACTATAAACCTTACCTTTCCGTTGAAATTCTTGGCAACAGTTGATCTCCTAACAATACTGTTGAATAGTTCTCAGATACATTATCAAATAACGAAGTCGACGTCTTTGATTTCCAATCATTCACAATTCTTTCGAACGCAACTTGTAGATCACTTGATTCATCAATAAGAATAGTTTCTCCTGATCTAATATGTTGAATCTTTACTACGGGTTCGGTGTTAGTGTTATCGAGCGCGATAATCCAAAAGCTAGTTAGTTTTGAGTGAAAATCATTAGTCAAAGGTAATAAGCGCGGAAGTGGTAACGTTGTAGATTTTCCGTAGGTCAACAATATAACTGTACGCGATGAGCGATTCAGTTGAGAATCAATTTGAGTTTTGTTTATTATGTCATCAATAAGAGTCGATGCTCCATTAAAATCGATTGATCGGCAACAGTTTCTAAGTAGATCGCTGATTCCGGCACTATCAAGTCCTTCTAGTTGTACCGCTCTACTACCAGCTGTCGCGCTTGAGTCATTGACAATCATTGTTGTTCGAATGGTTGGATCGACTTGTTTGATAAGGGAGATAAATGCTGCAATACTAATTGACAGATCCTGCTCAATATTAGACCACCTTTCATCATCATTGGTGAACAATTGAGATAATCTCTTGACAATTTTTCGCAGGAAATACTGCGAGGGACTATTGTCTTCTACGTTCAAATCAGTCGAATGTCCGTATATAATAAAGACATGATCTGGTATTAGTGATTGCTCGAACGTCACAAATTTCATTGTGTTGCCATAATATTCACATAGCTGTTCCCCGATCATCTTCCAAATATATATTGTAGTGTTATTTTCATTTATTCGAAGCTGTGCGTCATCGAAATTCCAATCGCGGTGCTTTTTCTTGAAGTCTCCCCAGTTCTGTTGAATCATGCTTTGTTGATCGATTATAATACATTTGTTGTCTGTCTGCTCACAAGATGTCACACACGCTTCGTTGGTCTTTGCATGACGCCAACCGCCCATGGCTTGTATGTGATGATTAGGCATACAACAATGTCGATTTTCATGCTGTCCAATAGGAAGAAATTTGTACAGGCTATGATCAATGTCACACAAACGTTGACAGCCAGGACATTGAATTATACAACCTTGTTGTTTGTACCGTAATTGTCGTTGGACAAGACAAACTATTTCTTTCTTGAAATCATCGATATATTTTGCTAGTAAACTTTTAGCCTCCGTTGCTTGTTGACTGATCTTGGCAAGAAGCTGGTCAATTTCCCAGGCAGCATATACTTCAAACTTCCAGCTGATCGATCGAAATGCTTGCTTCAGTGTATCGCTGGATATCGACGGTAATCGTAGAATTTCGTGCCATTTGGGATTTACTCGGCAAGAAGAACCACTTGCATATTTTATTTCATTTAAGATTTCCTGTCCTGACAGATGTTGAAATACTAAAAGAGCCATACAAAACCGCTTATTTTGTATGCTTTCCGTCTTTATATCGCTTGACGTTTCGAAAAGTGAGTCAATGACAGTAGTAGAATCTACATCCTTAGACTGTAAGAGTCGATTGATAGTTACACCTATGCGAGCGAGTTCATCTATCAGTTCACAGTATTCGCTTTTCATATAATCGATGTGGCGCTCCATGGTGTGTTTGAACGACATCGATCGTTGATCCAGCCACTCATTCAGTAAATCGACTGGACAGGTAATGTAGCGCATCAACCAATCGCGGTTGTGCAATTTGATTTTTTCTTCGATATTTTTCGCAAATCTCGCTCGATTGAAATCAGTCGTTTCTTTCGCGATCTCTGTCTCGGTAATCTTTTTAATTTCTGTTTCAAATGATTGTTTCAAACAAGAGCATATATCGCTCAGAAAATGCTTTGCAACATTTGCAGTGCCATCTAGTGTCGGCAGAGTTATACGCAGAAAATAGCCTAGCATAAGCTCGCGATCACGTTGAACATTTTGAACTAATACATCAAAGTATCTTGTCTGTTGTGTGTGATAGAATAATGCGATTGAAGTCATGGTGAAGGCATGTAGAATATCGAGTAAATCGTTGGACATACGTAACTGAAAAGTGTTGAACTCTGAGTCAGCTTGTTTAAGCACTGAGTGTAATATTGCGGATATTTCTTGTATGAATAACGCGTCTAGTGTCAAGTCATTTTTAGATCTTGATGAGAAAGATGCTCCGAATTGTTTCATAAGATCTTCAAATATTTGAAACGTCTGAATAAACAAAGGCCATTCTTGAATAATTTTCTCACATATTCGTTGATACTTCTGTTCCATAATATTCTGTTCGCCAGTAGGTTTCAATTTTGCTTCATCTAACCAGATATTCAGTAATTCTTGGCGATCAAGATACATAAAACTACTTAAATGATCGTAGTCGATCTTTTTCCGTTGGCTCTCGAACGGTTCTGGAACAATAGGTTTTACATCGGATACCACGCACAAAAACATATCCCGCAATGAGTATAGTTTTTCAGTAGGACACTTGCAGTCATTTAAAGAATCCATATCCAAACACAATAATACTTTGTGGAGTGTTTTATTCAGATCCGTTGACGCAATATTGTTAAACGTTTGATAGAGACTGCAAATTAAAATGAATATTTGTTGCCACCGAGTTGGTCGACTAAAAAGTGCCTGAATTTGAGCGAACTGCTTATTCCAAATATTTTCAAAATTACTAATCGCTAGCGTTTCGCTCTGCAGCGGATTCATTCGTGTGGTGAGTTTACAAGTTTCATCTAAACGTTGTTTTAATTCGATTTCAGCGTCGCGTACTGTTCGAGTGAATTTATCCATCTCAGCTGACGAAGTTGCCACTGCCTTCCATACTTGAAACCTCCTATCTAGTTGTTCATGCAAAAAACTAAAAACCTCTTTCGATGTCTGTGCGTTGATTGCATGATCTCCACATTGTTTCCTGAGGTTCATTTCAAACTCGTTTGATATTTCCTCGCGCTTTAGTCGGAAAATTTTTTCGATGGATTCACCACTATAGTTTGCTGCAGTTACCATTAATTGACGAGCATACTCTGGCGAAAATCTTGTTTCCAACTGGTGCAAAATGTCTTTGCGCAAACATTCATCCCATGTGTGCTCGTTATGTGTTGCTGATGAGCACTCTGCCATTGTATAGTTTGCTGACACGGCAATCTAGAGCGATAATATTGCTTTATGCGTCGTGAAAGGAAAAAAATTATGATCTTCTATATAGAGTCCAATAGAGTAACTCATATGCTCATGATTGGTTATGATAGTATCTGAAAAAATTACTCGACAGCGGCAATGTGAGCACATAGTAAACTATAATGTATCGATTTCTTATATGTGTTCTTTTATTAAAAAAAATGATTGTACCATAGAGGGCGTTATTGTATAGTGTTGATCAGACTGTGTAGCATCTTATAGTTTGATAAGAACTAAAAGTTTTGTGTTAAGAGTAATACATTCAAACTTGAATCGTCTGCGCGAGCATGTATGAAGTCAGTATTCATAAACAATTGTACAGTGACTTATTGTATTCCGTCTCTCTCACTCAAATACTCCTAAGTTCTTTTCTACTTCGAGCATCACCGTGCACATTTCTTTTTCTTTGAGAACGCAAGAAAAAAGTTAATTAAAAAAACAACAGTCACCCGTTCGCTACAGCTGTTTTTTCTTTACATTGTTTTTGCACTTTTCATCAACACTGCCTGCCTTTTCTGTTACGTCCAATGCAACATACAAGTGGTGGGTAAACATATGGTAGGATGGAAACGAAAATCTATAAAACCTCAGTCTTCATACTTTTTAACGTTTGCTTTTGCATTCACTTTATGGACAAAGCGTGTATAAACAAACTTTGTCCTTTTCTGTCATTGTACTCGGCACGATTGTTCGGTTTAGTATTCTGATAGAAAAGCCCTGTTGGTAGGAAAACGTTTGCGTATTTAAGATGTTAAATACGAGGATTCATAGCAGTTATGTGAAAACATTTTCTCCGATTACAGCAACTTCTTTCCTGATACATTTTAGATCGTTGTGACAGAAAGTGATTATAGCAACCGCACTTCAAATATACTAAAACTTCGTTTAAATTCATCACAGATTGAACCGAAAGGTTTGCACAGAAAATTGGTATCGACGACTTTCTCAACTACATATAATCTGGAAATGGCTACTCAGTATGTAGAAGAGTTAATCTGCAGTGCTCGTAAACTATATGATACAGAAGAATATCTCGCAGCACGTGCGCTATATACTCAACTCCTTGCTTTATATCCGTTTGATGCAAGAATGTGGCATCATCGATCAAACACTCATCTGAAGCTCCGATATCCTGAGTTAGCTTTTACTGATGCTGCTCGTGGACTTCAGCTTCTCGATGATACGCTAGCAAAGAAAACGTTATCTCGGGATGATCAAAATGACGCAGTACTTTTACGGCTTGACGTACTATATACCTGTCTACTTACTGCTGAAGCTCTGAACAGTTTTCAAATGGCACTACAGTATATTGATCGGCTATTGGCCAACGTCCATTTACTTTCCAGTGAGACGCGCAAAGTGGTGCTCGAAAAACAAGCTACCCTTCGAGACAAGATCAGTCAGAGAATCAGCACACTGCGCGGTGCAAATGTGCCTTTAGGAGTCTCAATTGACACTATTTCAAACTTGGGTACCATGAATGTAGTGAAATACCCATGGGACGTTTCTGAACCTTTCACTGCGACAAATGATTTGGATGCTGAGCTGAAAGAACTTAATAGCGCATTTGAACCATTCGCTCCGAAATTGAAGATCGTTCTTATGTAAGTTCTGTAACACTCTCATAACTGTATCACAGCGTTCTTGTGATTCAGGATGAATCTCTGTGTCAGCCCATATTATATAACTTGATGAATTTTGTAGGCCTGACAACCCAGCACTCTACACTCCAGAGCGCACATCATCTATATTCTTTTCCAAAGCCGGTAGACCTCAGTTGGGTATCATAGCACGAAAGAAAATCAAACCAAAAGAACGAATCTTAGATGAAACGGGAATCTTCGTTAACAACGGATTATATGGTCCTAAATGCAATTATTGTAACAGTGTCCTATCGATTTCGGCGAGTAACTCAAACGAAATGCACAAAACAACGTGCTCAGGATGTGGAGAACGCTTTTGCAGTGTTGATTGTCTCCACTCTGCTCTGGAAACTTACCACAAAGTTCTTTGTGGGCGTGATATTTCTCACATTTTAACGTATGTTGCCAAAGGAACTTCATGCAGTAGCTTAATTCATTTGGTTGTATTGCGACTGCTAGCAATTGCCGTTCAAAGCAAGCAGCACCCTCTTGAAATGACTATTGTGAAATACCTTGCAAGAAGTGCAAAGGAAGTAGTACCGTGGGATGTTTACCAATCATATTTCTTCTACTTGGACGTACTGAAAGTTCTAGGTCTGTGTCCGTATAGCGATATCGACAAGTTCGATTTTTGGATTTACTATACGCTCCGAAATAAACTAATACCTAATGTATTCGGAGAATACAAAGCGCCAATGAAGCCGGCAAATGGAAAACTGCTTCTTTTCACGAGCTTCCTCAATCATTCCTGTGTTCCGAATGCTGTTTATATCACGGACAGACACGCTCATCAGGTAGTTGTTGCTCGCAAAGAAGGAATTGAGAAAAATCAACAAGTTTTCATCAGCTACATTGATCCTGATCGTCCGTCCATCGAACGTCAGCAACTCTTCGAAACAACTTATGGATTTGTTTGTAGATGCGAACGTTGTGTTCGCGAACTAGGAACGAATGACGAAGAAGAAATTCGTCAAAAGACTGCCCCTTCAAGCAACTAGCAAACTGAGTCACAGTGTAGTTGTTTATTTTTTCTCGCACACTCAATACATATTCTTTTACAGTGTATACTTCCAAGACATTTCATCTCTAGTTAAGTTAATGTAATGCATGGAGAAATACCTGATATCCAAGAATATCGATGAACTTAAACCTATATAGTTTTCATGAGATTTATTGAATTTGATACAAAATCAAAAGTACTAGAAGTGCGTCGATAGCACAAACGATAAAAATATCTACACGTGCGTTCTCTTTGCTGCGCATATTACAGCCATAAACACAATCACATCGAGTTCATCGGGTAACATGACGAATGACTCGAAGAAAATAATCACTCTACTGATAACAAGTACTGGGAATAAACGAGATGCTATGCTACCGATATATATACCGACAACCAATGTAGGTTACCAATATCGATGAATCCAAACTATCCTTGCTACTGGTTGGGCTCGTGTGTTGCGCAGCGCGAAGTAAGAGATTGCGCGCAAAAAAGAGAAAGAGTTAAAAGATAAAAACGACTCTTACTTCGCGACAGACGGTATTTACGCTCATTACTATTCGAATAGACAAGGAGATCGAAGACTCACGTATAATCCTATGGACTGTGAACGAATTCATTTATTAGTTTCTACTGTTTACTCAGATGGTGAAAAATAGATTTTATTTGGACAAACACAGTGGCGAGAGGACACCCACCCTCAGTTCTTAACCGTCTTACTGCATGGTGCAACGATTCAAATAATCAGGACATCACGTCCAGGGCAAACAATAAAGAACATGCAGAGCCAAGAGCAATCGATTTGGGAGAGAATGAATTATGGTACATAATAACAGCGTGTCTCATTTTCATTGGCACATATGTACCTGGCAGCTGTGATACATTTAATAAAGATACCCTTCTAGTTTGAACAACTATTTATATACTCAGAGTACGGTATCAGTTGTACATAACCTTGAGAGTACATAAGTGACAAAAAAAATAGTGGGATGTGAAACGCTATTAAAGTTCTGCAGAGATATAGAAATATAAAAGAGTTATTTAGCTTGCTTTACCAACAAAAATAGCCAATATTAATGCCAACACGAAAGCAACTATAATATGAATGAAGAGAAATACTCCTTTAATTCGATCAATGTTTATTTGCGCTTTATCGTATGTATTGTCGGATGTATTTGTATTCTCGGTAGTGATATCGTAGAAGCCAGATGTTTTGGTTTCTGCTGATGGTTTGTTTTTAAAACAATATTCTATAAGCCAGAAGAGAAAAAATATAATTGGCAGCCAGCATACCCAGGCAATAAGGATGGCCCATATTTTGTTCTTTTCAAAACTAAATTGTGTAAAGAACATGGCGAGAAACATAGCAACAATGGAAAGAATCAATGCAATAAAGCCAACAATTCGATGTATATGATTGAATATGAAACGATACTGGGCATCAGGTTTGCAACGATATAAGGCCATAAATGGTTGAATAACGGAAAAAACTACTACAATGATTCCAGCGATCGAGTGTGCAAATTCGCGTTTCTCGTTTCGGGATATCCATCTACCGTTTTCATACACAAGAATAAGAATAAAGGCGATCAGAGTTAAGATAGGAACACTAGTCATCAACGCACGATGTACAGTAAACCAAATGGGTTTGCCACAGACGTTCGTACCTGGCCATGCAGCTTTGAAATATCGTGGAAGAAGAATACCCGTGGAAACGAGCAATATCCATGTAAAAATCATAATAATACCATGTGCTTTCATTAGAACTTTTTGACCAGAATCATCTGAATCTAAGTTACTCATGATCGTTTCTTCTCGATTCAGCTGAACAGTCTGCGTCAGTGCTTCACGTGATTTGTGTTGCATGATTTCATCTATATATCGAATCAAGTGAAGAAATTTCGTTTTCGATGCAAATCACAACATACTTGAACTGTCCAAATCTCCCATTGCTATCAATGGATAATACGGTGTCGCTTGTGAAAGTGAAACAATGTCACGCCGTCGACGGCCAGACGTGACAAAATTGGATAGAGTAAATTCACAGTAAGTCGTTCCATCTTCAACCTTTTGCAAAGTTACATTGAATGTACCACCAGGATTGGATATCGTGCTGGCTGATACTGGCGGTGAATGACCACTTGGATTTATACGACGATCAAGTAAAACTGAACCGTCAGCTAAGTGTCGGCACATGAATACATGATCTTCACCCTGCAGAGATTCAAAGTTATTTTTATTCCTATAAATGAATTTTTGGCTCCTACCATATTTTGATCCAATGAAAGGCCTAAAGCAAACCATTGGGATGTTTTCAAATCATTCATTCGCATTCTCACGGCTGTTACGCCGTCGTTATATGTCCAAGAGATTTGAACGCTATAAATACTCTTTGTCGTTGTCACGGTCTCAGTGCTTGTTGCTGTCGTTGTCGCCGCGGTAGTACTTGCCACTGTCGCGGAAGTACTATTCATGGAAGCTGTTGTATTCGTCTAACAGAAATTTCACAACAATATGTTCCGCTTTCAATCGAATGAATTTTACTTGTCGAGGCGTCAATGTCAGATTGTAACAACTCACATATATGTTACTATATGATTCGACAATTGTTACTCTAAGCATAAACTATATCATTACTTTGTATTCTAAACGCTAACGATATGTTACTGTATGATTGTACTCGTGTTAGTTGTTGTAGATGGCGGATACCAAAGTGCTTCAACAGATGATTTCAAATCTCTCGAATTGTGTGTAATACCTGTATTCGGTACTGTACTACAATTCACTATTCTCGTCGTGGAACTCACAACGGCCCATGTGCCAACAATGTCTCCGGTTGTTTCAGCTTTTGCCACTAGTAGAACACCTTTGAATGAAGCTGAGCTATTAACGGTAACTATTAAAACGAACACAAACAAATGTACCTAAGACCTTTTGACTGTCAAACAAACTTACGACGAACAACATCGTTTACATCGTATTGTAACTTATCAGATTGAATTGTATAGCTTGATGAACATGCTTGGGAAGCATATCCGTGACCAGGTGTCATCGTTTGACATGCATAATTCGGTGCACCACTTGGATAATTGTAGCCATATTTGATAGATATTAAAGCAAAAACAACGGATTGGTAGATGAATGATGCCATTCAAAGCAGAAACTTCAGAAATTTTTGCTTTCACTTCTCTATGTCTGATCGGTAGAAGTTGTTTGTGTAATGAGAGAGCACAAAAAATAAATTTCATCAGTTCTACGCCGCACTGAAAACTTTGCAAATACGAATTATTCATCGACTGTGAACATTTTCTTTCGTTCTGTACAAGCTTTTTTTGAAAAAAAGGCGTCATGGAGAAATTTTGTTTTCTTCTCATTGTTATTTTATTTGGGTGATCGAAACAGGTGCATCACAATTCTTTCGTCACCTAAATGAAAAAAATCGCATGATCGAAAGTCATGTACTAAAGAACGATTAAACGAAGAAGTGTTAATCCACGATATAAACCGAACAGAATTGAGATGCACATCGTCTTAGCAATCTGAGCTGGAAATTCGCTCGATACGATGAGTTTCAACGATTTGAATGTTTCATTAGTCGAATACATACGTATGACATCCTCTCAAATGTTTCTCCATATTTTATTCGAGAAAAACAAAACTTTTCAAACTTGAAATAGACATCCTCTATAAACTTGATCTTCTACATAATCTTCGACATATTTTCCTGACTCTAATCTTTCATTGTTTTTCTCTTCTAACAATTGTTCATTGGGATCCTGATTAATCACAATAATCCACGAGTGGATCTGCGCCGATGTGTGCACACAAAATTCATCTGCACCCAGTGGGTGTGCGTAGTAAATCGTATCATATCTCTCACTAGAACGCCATTCCTTGGGATCAGTTATTCGTTTGGTTTTTCCCAGATTAACTTTGGCACAGATATATGCACCAAATTGATTTGCTTTAAATTCTGTGTGGTTCAGCGACGTCGCGAAATATATTCCCGGCCCAATCCAGCCAGCAGATGACGCTCTCAAATTATCCTGTGCAATCAACGATGCAAATTTGTGACTGGTTTGATGAAAGCCAACTACCGTTTGATTGTCTTCAGTTTGCTCCGGTGGATATCTCGTATTACCAGAATGATACATAATGACATGATAAAGATTTCTAGACGTGCAATTGTTGCCCTTGGTACAACGAGAATTCTGCCAATGATTTGTCTGCTGATCATTAGTTATTGATAATGGTAAGAAACCTAAATGACGCNTTGCACGGAGAAAAGTGGATCGGCGTCAAGTCAGCTGTATTACTCATATTCTGTTGGTTTCGACAGTCACGGGCACTTGTATGTGGCTGATGAATGGAATGATCGTATTCAAAAATTCAATCTAGAAATCGATTCGTGTGGTAAGTCGCTGAGATATCCCTACAGCTCAATTCGACCCGTTCTTCTTAGAGGTGTTGATATTGGACTATGATGTTTCATCTGTACTTCGCATTTTGTAGATTGTCGTGAACCATTTGTGAAACTTACTCCATCTGGAACAGTGTTAAGCTTTCGATAAAACCAGCATATATATATTAGTTCAACTATCGAGGTGAACTGTGCTGATTTAACATCAATTGCAGGTGAATGGTCAATTCTTATCTGTACATCAGCATGTACCAATAGGTTACCGCTTAATCATTCTATCGATACAACATCGAAGGATCTGTTCATTTCATCGGGAACTCTTTCATATGGGCTCTATCGTCTAATATTAACTGTCATAATGCATGAACATCCATTGCAGCTATCATCATCAGCTGCAATAGATATTCAAATCAGTTCACCGTTACTGGTTACAAACCTCATTTCCTTTGATACTCAGTTGATCACATATGATTATCAGCTCGATTTTGTACTCAATCCCGGCCAATTCTCTTACAATAAAAAAGAATTGAGATTGAATGCAAACGTAACTAATTATTCCTGTTTTGCCTTTTACACCTCTAATGATCTTTTCCTTCAAAATTTAGGATTGGGATTACTTCTACTATTGTCGAACTTATCCAGAAGATCCACAAGGATTTCAACTATTTGACAATCAAAGTCGTATGTGTTTTCCAGGTGCATGGAAATATCTCACTCCAGATCGATCATCTATGAAGATCTCGACTAGCTCTCTGAACCTTAATCAAACTTACCAGCTAATGGTTCAAATGATTCATCGAAAAAATTCATCTGTACACTCATTTGGTTATCTAATCGTTCGAATCGATCATATCCCACTACCAATGATCATCATCAGGTAATAGCCTCTTCTCTGAATCTATCTTTCCCCTCATTCTCGTATCTCTTCAGTTGTGTAATTGTCACGACATGCGCGTTATCTCATGAAAATTTCCATTATGTCAATCAAAATAGTCAACTTTTCCTTCTCTCATCCTGCTTGGGTGACTGTGTATCGATCCATAAGATCAGTTGGACGATTTATGTCGGATCACCTGTCTCACCGCTTGATCAGACGATTCATTGGATTCCATACAAACTCATTGTCAATAGATCTTTAGAGGAAGGTTTCTTTTTCACGAGTCTAAATACCAACAAATTAACAGTGATGAAAGGTTTATTTGCGAAAAATCATTCGAATATTTATTGGCGTTTTGAAGTGAGTTACTCATTCTTGGAATTCGAGAACCAAAGTCAAAGTTACTTTGATATTGAATTAAATCAACCACCAATCAATGGTTCTTGTTCCATTTACCCACTCAATGGTACAACTACTACGATATTTACGATTCAATGTACAAATTGGTTTGATCAAGACGAAATCAAAGATTATCTTATTTATGGTTGTTTCTCTTGAATTCTCATCATTGACAATGGGAAAGCATCTCTTTGTTTGTTCTTTTAGGTCAGTTATCGAATTCTATAGAAGAAATGCTCTTGGCTCATACCGTCCAATCAGCTCTACAGCTCTACTTACCCGTCACACTTGATCCAACATCGACCCTTCAGTTAAAAGTGAAGATTCGAGACGAATTTGATTGTTCTTCAGAATACTCTCTTCCACCTGTTCGCGTTCATCCAGACGTATCAAACATATCACAACTCATTGATTTATTACATAATGATGACAAAAGCATATTTGCACAGATAGTTTCATCAATCGTACAACTATTTAATCAACTCAATTACCAAACAATGAACGAACAAGTCCAGAGTGAATATTTCTTTTCACACGAAGTTAAAATAAACCATCTTTTTACTTTGAAGGTGGAATTGCGTTAACTGAGATCACAGTCACATCGCTTCATCAACAACCTCTTGCTTCGGTAAGCTTAACTATTTCGCGGTAGATTTGCTTCTCAACGACAAGTATCTAGATGATGAATGTATCGATTCTAAATATTGACGAACGGGCTAAATTACATGAAGATCTAATCTTGAAAATTATCGATCTATCTATCGCTACAAGCACAGATCTACAATTACAATCAACTATCCTTTCACAAATAACACAAACTAGCAACCAACTGACACGAAACGCTTCTGTAATAAACAAAACACTACATTTCGCTTGTCTAGTTGATTTGTTTTCTATAGGTTATGACAGCAAACAAATGCTCTCAACTTTCTGCATTACTGAAATCAATCGCCAATACACTTTCCTCTGAAGATACGCATTTCATAGCGACACATCTTTTACAATGTGCTGTCAACTCTTTCAACGTATGTAATTATTGTTCGTTTCAGTTCATCGACGAATACATTTGATTTGCTTTAGGGCATCTATGGTTCCTTGCAGAAACGCGCGAAAATCCTTCCTTTGGATTTAATACGAACACAAGAAGAACTTCATGATGATTCAGAATATCAATGGCATGGTACAAGTGCGCAGTTTTCGTTTTTCGATACGGATGACGACGCTGAGACAGTCCTTATGGAAAAGAATCGATATTATCAGAATCAAGAAGCAAAGAAGATCTCGAACGACTTGAATCAGATTATTTCCTCAATAACATCAACATTTCTTGTACATTTGAATGTCGGCCAGCAAATCATTATCAATACATCGGCCATCTTCTTCTCACTTGAGAAAGTCTTCTCTTCGTCGATCGCATACCGACTGAACGATTCACAGATTCGTTTTCCATCAAATCTTCTCGATTCTAATAGCACTGTACTCATTCGCGTATAATTGAAGAAAGCTTTTCCTTTTCATCGAGTCTGTGTGTTTGATTTGTTTAGAATATTCTGCAACCATTGGCTTCGTCCGCATCCGATCATCGATTTTCCGCTTACACCAATCTATCTCGATCGCTCTCGTTATCAATCCTTGATGAAAATGGAACTGAATTAAATATAAACACTAACCTAACAGATCCCATAGAGTTTTTCATTCCCCGAGATCCACAGCTGATCATGCCATCGGCATTCCTTCAAAATAGTACATTGATCAATGAGCAAAAGATGTCATCATCGCCTTTTTATTTCTATTTATTCGATTTACAACAGACAAATCCAAACTTAACATTTGCCATTCATTTGGAAATTCACCTCTCGATAACTAACATTTCCTATTTATTAACTTATCAATTCGATCCTCCAAAGCCACTATCCTCGTTATCAGATCATTGGACATTTCTTTGTCCATCAAGTAAACGTCCATCTTATCTCACTTCGGATGGCATGTACGTTCATTTTCTTAATAATCATCAAACATCAAATCGTCATTCGATCGTTTATGGACTTCGTCAATTATCAACGAAGGAAATGCAAGAATTCTGTTATCACAACAAAACACTCGATCGAATATCTTCATTATTTCGTCAAGCTTGGATATTCACATCTGATTATCAAATACGAATGTACCAATCTGCTTGTTTCTATCTTGATTCCGACTCCAATTGGCAATCCAATGGATTATTGGTAAACGTGAACTTCCAAAGTATATCCTTATTACTCTTCTTTTTTTCGATTATATAGGTTGGATCATTATCTGATCATTATGCAACCCAATGCTTTTCTACACGTATATGAAAATGCTTATCCTCGTTCAATACCAGCATTATCTAAAACTGTGCAATGTCAGAGCACATTCTTTTCGTTTAAGTTATTTCATCCGTGGACGATGAATCTCATGTTTCTGCTTTGCTTCTGTTCAGCTTAAATGTATTTGTGGAATATCATCATGGAGGTTAATACCAAGAACTATCTAAATTCTGAAATTTCATGACTTTTTTCCATAAAGTTTTCACTGAAAAAAAAAACAGAATTATCAATCACTGTCAAAGAAATAGCAAAAATTGCTGATGTATTTCAAGGTAATACAATAAGTTGGTGTTGATAATTACTCGCACATCGTATCTGTTCGTTTTGAATACAAACAATCTTTCAAGATATTCAGTCTTCAATAGAATGAGGCTTGCGACGAACGTATTGAATACCTTGAACATAACGGAATCTGGAAGCAAAGTACATTACACATTGAGAATCTATTGCAGAATAACACCGTAAACTTTGTTTTTGTATACCTTTATCGTATGAATAAAATTCCCGTACTCCCATAGACTCTGAAGATTTCGAATTTGTCTTGTAATGGCATCAAAAAAGAAAGAATGGAAAGCAACTCGTTGATGATTTACTCCACAATTAAGTAACTTTCAGCTTTCTCTCTATAAAAATGTTGACTTCTACACATGTTTATATATACCATTGACCGTGTAGATACCTACAGAACTTAGTCTTGGAGACATTCGAGGCGAGTTTCAGGGAGTGCAGTATTGCAAATTTCATACAAAACAACACGGTAGTATCATTTTCATTCGTACTTTTTCTTACTGTTTTTTTCACGAACAATACAAACACTTATCGATCTTAAACTATCTGGTAATGATATGCGAAGCTATGGAATACTACATTCGCCGATTGCTCTATTCTATAACAAAGTTAGTTGTTCTAACTCATCGCTGGCTTCATTGAAATTGATTCGTGTCATCTAGACCCTCACCCACTTTCATCCAGTAAACATTATTCTTTCTCTATTTGCTATTTGAGATTTAAAATATCTGTTTAGTCTCTAATGAACTTCAATCTTCGAACCAACGCATGTGATAGAGATATACAAAAATAAATCAATCGAACAAGAACCGCCCAGATTCATTTTACTCTTTTTTTCGCCAGAAAAAAACTTCATGTTTATCTATAAATACAATAACATCAAGTGGTAACTAAGAAAAACCGACTCGAAATAAGATCGTCTTTTGTCCGTTACATAACCTCGTCTGAATTTCTTGTGCTTGTTGGACCAATACTTGTCTGTCGTCAAATATACTTTCCACCACCTGTAACGATATTTTCTGTAAGTTAAAACATGCATCCTTTATGCCTGTCCATTGATTTTCATGTAAAAATTGTTTGACGTCATCCCGATCGCCCACGAAATAGAAATACTTTATGCTTTTCATCTTCATTATCCAGCTGATCATTTCCTTCGAAAAGCTTTGGGCATCAGCGTGAACAGAGTCATTTGTTGGCGCTGAACGATGATGGTTCAAGTCGAGCAGGAAAGATTCAATTTTGTTCGCTTCGGCACGCCAATAGTTGGATCGAGGCGCATAAGAATAGTTGTGTGATATACCGGGACAACGAACTTCGAATCGTTGAATACCTGGTCCAAGTAAATCGAACAGATCATAGAATTTATCATAACTCAGCTCGTTATCAAAGTAAAGTGAAAGACGAGTTAGTTTCGGAAAATTTCTTTTATAGACTTCGATTTGATCTTCATATTTGGATGCAGCGGATAACGTGATTGAATTGATTTCTCTAAGGCGTGCTATGCGAGTCAAACAATTTTCTGAAACAGTTTCCCTTCCGTCGAAATATAAGGACACAGATTTGTCATGCGGGATTTTGGAAAGAATTTTTGCGATAATTGGATCGTTTAGATTTGAAAGTTGGAACTTGAATGATTTCGATTTGTTTAGTAAATGAAGAACATTAATCGAGAAGGCGGAAATCGCGTCGTTCAATGGAAGATATTGAGCTATCTCATAAACAATATCCCAACAAAGACGAGTTGTTTCAACGAAATTGAATGCCTAAAAGAAGAACAATTTCCCCTATTGAAATGAATATTAGAAAAATGTCACCAAATCTTTTTCAATTTGATCGCAATATTCTCGAAACTGATGCAGCTCATTGAATAGGTTATCCGAGTCTACTGCTATGTTCCTGTTCACCAGTGTGTTATTCGCAGCTAATACTTTAAATTGGTATTCAGATGTTATCGTGCTATCTGTTCTATATTCAAATAGGCGCGTAATTCCAATAAGTAAAGGAAATTGTTCGATTGAGAACGTTTCGAAGAAGGAAACAGAAAACAAATTTCGCCAAATCATTTCTAGTCTAAATTACAACAAAAACTAAATGTTTGAAATCAAATCGACTCATGACCTACATTTCAGCTGTTTCGCAAGTAAACTTCCACGGCCAAACGATATAGTTCATGTTTAAGTACCTCCATATATTTTCTGAATAGCATATCGATTTGCGAAAACTTTCGTTTAACAGAATAGATCCCTCATTGTAAATATAAACCAGAATAGGACGACGCTGAAATACATGAAATTGTCTCGACATTCTCGTTTACAATAAACAATCCATTGCGACAAACCTCTTCGATTAGTGATTGGCCAAATGATATTTCACACGCTTTTGTAAGAGATTGCCCGAAGAAAATCAGGGTTAAATCATTGGGATTTCCGTCAACTGAAACAAAACTATGCGCAACTGGCAAGTCTTATAAGGAGAAAAACTACTTACATTCATCGATGTCAATTAAATCATCGAAACTATCCGAAAAGACACTGACTTGGTCTTCTGTGTCACTATCCTAACATACAGCAGTAGATACGATGTTATTTTGTTTCTCTGATTATTTTTCGAATAATGTGATAAAACAATACTCACCATTTTGATGAATTGTTTGAATGCTTCTGTGGCTACCGCTCTTTTATAAGTGAGTGACTTGAAAAAACCCTTAGGTGTGCATATTTCTCATTCTTTGTTTAGCGTTTTCATTCAACACCTTGGGCAAATATTTCTCGCGAACGTGTGAGAGAATAAAGTTTATCTTATCTTGGTGGCCGTGTTAACATAATAAATCATCCTGGGAAGTTTTCAATGGATTGTTCCGAGACACCTACCAAGATACCCATCAACATTCCAACGTGACTAAAACATTTTGTAAATTTCGCGATGATAGAAGTTGCTTTGTGATCGGGTATTGACGTCGTGATGCGTTAAATTTTTTTGGAACGTATATTTCATTGTAAAACAAGGAAATATCTGTTTTCGGGTGTGAAGAAGTATCGATTAAACATTTTCTTTCGGACTATCACGAGCAAAGTCTCTCTAAAAATCAGTATCGTATTATAGACACGTTTATCTCGTGGACTTCTTTTTTCATGCAAAACTTTAAAATGCTTCAGACACATTCTTATTTATTATTCAAATATTTAAAACGTTTGATTAGATAACACACAAAAAAATTTCCACGGAAAAAAGGTCGTTTGCGTGGCGTACATCGATCTCGTCATATTTTTGAATTAATTACTCATAATGCTACTATTCAACTAATGAATGTTCACAAACGCAGTATAATAGAACGAACAATTTGTAATTACATTCAGGACATACTGCTTATCCACACTCACCATATTTCTTTTCATTTAAAGAATGAAAATTACATTTTGGTTAAACAAAAATATTTGCTTTTTTATAATACACGACAAGATCGATCGTAATACGAGTATTTTCTCATAGCATTTATATCCTGTTGACTACACTTTATGTTGATAGCGTGTGTTATGTTATTTCTCTGTAACATATATGTATTACTGTTGGTGAGAAGAGTTCACATCTTAAACATCACTGTGCACGTTTCTTTTTCTTTGAGAACGCAAGAAAAAAGTTAATTAAAAAAACAACAGTCTTCCGTTCGCTACAGCTGTTTTTTCTTTACATTGCTTTTGCACTTTTCATCAACACCGCCTGCCTTTTCTGTTACGTCCAATGCAACATACAAGTGGTAGGTAAGCATATGGTAGGATGGAAACGAAAATATGTAAAACCTCAGTCTTCATACTTTTCAATGTTTGCTTTTGCATTCACTTTATGGACAAAGTGTGTATAAACGAGCTTTGTCCTTTTCTGTCATTGTACTCGGTACGATTGTTCGGTTTAGTATTCTGATAGAAAAGTCTGGTCGGTAGGAAAAGGTTTGCGTATTTAACATGTTAAATACGAGGATTCACAGCAGTTATATGAAAACATTTTCTCTGATTACAGCAACTTCTTTTCTGATACATTTTAGATCGTTGTGACAGAAAGTGATTATAGCAATCGCACTTCAAATATACTAAAACTTCGTTTAAATTCATCACAGATTGAACCGAAAGGTTTGCACAGAAAATTGTTACCGACGACTTTCTCAACCACATATAATCTGGAAATGACTACTCAGCATGTAGAAGAGTTAATCTGTAGTGCTCGTAAACTATATGATACAGAAGAATATCTCGCAGCGCGTGCGCTATATACTCAACTCCTTGCTTCAGATCCGTTTGATGCAAGAATGTGGCATCACCGATCAAACGCTCATCTGAAGCTTGGATATCCTGAGTTAGCGTTTACTGATGCTGTTCGTGGACTTCAGCTTCTCGATGATACGCTAGCAAAGAAAACGTTATCTCGGGAAGATCAAAATGACGCAGTACTGTTACGACTTGACGTACTATATACCTGTCTACTTACTGCTGAAGCTCTAAACAGTTTTCAAATGGCACTACAGTATATTGATCGGCTATTGGCCAACGTTCATTTACTTTCGAGTGATGCGTGCAAAGTGGTTCTCGAAAAACAAGCTACTCTTCGAAACAAGATCAGTCAGAGAATCAGCACACTGCGCGGTGCAAATGTACCTTCAGGAGTCTCGATTGACACTATTTCAAACTTGGGTACCATGCATGTAGTGAAATACCCATGGGACGTTTCCGAACCTTTCACTGCGACAAATGATTTGGAGGCTGAGCTGAAAGAACTTAATAGCGCATTTGAACCATTCGCTCCGAAATTGAAGATCGTTCCTATGTAAGTTCTGTAACACTCTCATAACTGTATCACGGCGTTCTTGTGATTCAGAATGAATCTCTGTATCCACCCATATTATTTAACTTTACGAATTTTGTAGGCCTGACAACCCAGCACTCTACACTCCAGAGCTCACATCATCTATATCATTTTCCAAAGTCGATAGACCTCAGTTGGGTATCATAGCACGAAAGAAAATCAAACCAAAAGAACGAATCTTAGATGAAGCGGGCATCTTCGTTAACAACGGATTATATGGTCCTAAATGCAATTATTGTAACGGTGTCCTATCGATCTCGGCGAGCAACTCAAACGAAATGCACAAAACAACGTGTTCAGGATGTGGAGAACGCTTTTGCAGTGTTGATTGTCTCCACTCTGCTCTGGAAACTTACCACAAAGTTCTTTGTGGGCGTGATATTTCTCACATTTTAACGTATGTTGCCAAAGGAACTTCGTGCAG